GTACATGAATTTGTGCACATACTGAATAGTATATATGTGTACACGATAATGATAACAATAAATTTACTTCCGTATAACAGATTCAAGAAATTCGAGATTTTGTCTGATTACTTGTGTTCCGTGATAATTTATTTAAAGAGACTACAGTCCTGCTGTTTTATTTGTGTACATTTAATTTGTGAGGAATGATTTGTTACTGTTTTTAACATTTCCGGTTTTAAACTGCATCCTGACAGTTTATTTTCATAATATTTTTGTCAGTAAGAATCTTATAATTTATTTTTAGATATGTTTGTTTGATGCGGTATGTCCTGATTGTTTATTTTTTCACTATTTGTTTTTAAGGTTGCCGAAAATATTGTTTTAAAACATTTGTTTTGTGAGTTCTGCTTAATAATTATTTTTAGAGATTTGTTTTCTGAGATTTATCTAATGCTTTATTTAACAGGTCAGACTATTTAAAACATAGGCAATTGTACAATTGGAACATTTTCTTTCTTTAGAAGTAAACAGAAAAAAAAAGATTATTTAACCATTTTATATGTGCGTTTATGAGAATTTCCAGTTTGTCAGACCTATACATTCATACAATGTGTTAGTACTAAGACTTCTATTTAATTCACATAATTGTTGCCTGGATTATGATTATGGTTTATAGTTAGGCTTAGGGAAACTCCAGAACTAACACTAGAAAGAAGGATTAAATCGAGGGTTAGTTTCTAAATGTGGGTTAAAAATTATCGCTACTCATTAAATCGAGGGTTAGTTTCTAAATATGGGTTAACAATTATCGCTACTTATTAAATCGAGTGTTATTTTCTAAATATGGTTTAAACATTATCGCTACTTATTAAATCGAGGGCTAGTTTCTAAATGTGGGTTAAAAAATTATCGCTACTTATGCTAATATATGGGAACTGTGAATCGAAAATTAGTTTGTATTGATTGTATGTATGTATTTCTCCCTTACTACTATGTGTAAAGGCAATATTGATTGTATGTATGTAGTTCTATGTGTAAAGGCAATATTGATTGTATGTATGTATGTATGTAGTGTACATCGGTTCTATGTGTAAAGGCTTACTAATCCGCTGCAGGCAGTGTTTAAAAAATAAAATCAATGTTAAACTTCATCACGTTTAAAAATGTATATCACCATGGAAACGCTGAGACGCTAGTTTAGTTTATTAAACTGTGGCTTCTGCATATTTGAGACCAAGTTTTTAGTTTTATTTCAGCCGGGCCGTTTGTATGATTATGTTTGATACATAAAAATTAACATAAACATATGTCCGGGCCGTTTGTATGAGTATGTTTAATACATAAATAGGAACATAAACATATAAATAGTGTGTTAGTGTGGGCACATATTAATTTAACTCAACCAGGATGCATATGTATTATTTTAAAATTAAGTTTTTAATTAAGTTGGTGAATTTGAAATTGTGTAATAATTGAAGCTGGTGCATTATAAATAAGCACATGAATAATTCAATGTGAGTGAATAGGTTTTTTTTTTTTATTATGCTTTCGGTTAAGTGCAGTTGGAGAAATTAAAATTTAAAAATGTGGAACTAATATATATGTATGAACTCATTATTTATTGAACAGTTGTTTTTTTATTATACTAATTATCTAGTCACAGTTGGTAAATTTGTTAGTTATTATATTTTTTAAAAATTATATATGTTCCAATCATTGTGACTGTTTATTGAAAGACCAGATTTGAAATGCTTGCAAATTATGTACTGTAGACTCATGTTAAGCAGAGTTTCTTCCAGGCATCTCTTCGGGGATGGAGGGGGGGGGGTGTTCGGCCCACCCCCTCCCTCCCCCGGAGAAAGTCTACCGCCCCCGAACGAAATGTAATTTTTATAGAAAATACTTTTAACAGTGTCCGCCCCCCCCCCTCCCGGAAATTTTAGATTGCCCCGCCCCCGAAAATGTCAAATGCCCCCCCCCCCCCCCGCCCCGGAGAACCGAAGAAGAAAGTCTGGAAGAAACACTGATGTTAAGGTAGTCAGCAAAACTTCGATGGTATTGGGGTTATGATTTGTAGTGTAATCTACTTTCACTTACGAAAACTGAAAGAACAAAGGAAATATACAATTTACAGAATGATCGATGTACGTATTGGTTTTTTTTTTAAATGATTTGGTTTTAAAAAAGTGAAGTATTGTGTATTTAGTATTTGAACGTAAGGCAATACTACTTATTGGAATCTAATATACTGCTCAATATTTTGCTTGATTTTTATGAATAATTTTGTATTTGATGTACACTCTCACTCTCCCATAAGATAACTTGATATTTAAACCATGCTTGGAACTCAATGTCCTTGTATATCTTGTTACACGTAGCTTTAAGTGTACTCAATGTTATATAATTGTGTAATTAAAAATAAATAATTTTTGCTGAATTTATTTTGAATGATACTGGGTATTACCTATTAGCCTTATCTGTTTCATCGTATATGGACTGTAGATGTTAAATTTGTAATAATATTGCTGGAGTTTGTACTATGATATAAATTGTGCTGAAGTCATTTGATGGGTTAAATATGTATTTTGAGTAAAAAAAAAAAAAAAGATCATTGATTTGTATTACCTTTTGGTTTGAAGTATAGTTTAGGTTAAAAAAAATCATACACTTGTATGCATTTTTAAAAAAAGAATATTGTATCACATTTGTTTTAATGAATACTAAATATACACTGCCTAATAACTTTGACTTAAAACGTTTACATTTATTAGATTGTAGTTTTGACTAGGGTAGAGATTTATTCATGATAATTTTATGTTTAGAAGATAATTAATAATGAGATAATGAATAATTTGCTGACATATTATACTGAAAGTTTTTATAGCAAATAAGTTTTTTTAAAAACACGAGAATCGGGCTATGATTCTAAAGATGTGAGGTATGTTTACTGAATGTGAAGAAATAAACAAAAAAAAAATATTTTCAAAATTATTTCAATAAAATGTAATATAATGTATACTTAAATATATACCTGTGAATAATGATATACATATTTATGTGTTTGAGTGTTTATCCATATAAACAAATATATATGTATATGTTGCTTTATATGATGTATAGCTGTATACCTCAGCCTCCAAATCTATATTTGTATACTGTGTATATTATTTATTTTTTCCCGACAAGGACGATAACTCTGCTTAGAGAATTGGTCCAACATGTTTTCAGCAGAGTTTTATATTTTCTATGCTGCATTACAGCCTACACCTTTCTATTTGGAACAGGGGTCACTGTTTATTTATAGATGACCTTACACAGACGAATTTCTCATTTTTTTAACGCCATTTTACATCATTAAGAAGAACCTACTTTTTTATTGGTAGAAAAATAAAAAAATAAAACAATAATTATAACCGCAGTTAAATCATAAAAAAACGTCTCATTTAATACGGCTTTGTATGTCAAACTCAGTAGCGTAGGCACGGGGGGGGGGGGGGGGGGGGGTTGGGGGGGGGGCTGTAACCCCACCCCCCCATAGACCCCTCGGTATAGATATATAAAGTATTAGGGGGGTGTAAATCGAAAGTTTGTCCTCGGGTAAAATTTGGAACCCCCCCCCCCCTTGAGACGATCCTGGCTACGCCACTGGTCAAACTTAATAGGTGAGTTTAATATAAAACCTTTAACAACAGGCTCTTTTCAATAGGAAATACAGATACACTCAGAACATTCTTGTGAAAGAAAGTCATATTTATTAAGATTAAAAATAATGTAGTTTAGTTGATAGATAGAGCAAATAATCCATGCAAAAAGATGGGGGCTTTCTTGACCAAGGCTATTTTGAAGAGGGCAAGACTATTCCCTTTTTTAAAAAAAAATTTAAACAACAACCGTATTTCCTCAAAAATTTCAAGTAAACACATTTTGTGCGTCATGCAATTACATTTTGATGACCACTGGATAAAGTGTACAGTCTTGATCCTAACTAAGATTGCAGTTAAACAATTTCAGAGGCGTAGCGACCCTTTTAATTTGCACCCCCCTCAAACTTTCAATTTCTTTTTCCAACCCATTTTGGACATATGTCCCCCCCGCCCCCCCCCCCCCCCTCTCGCTACGCCTTTGAACAATTTATACTTTCTAAAGCACTAATAATCTGAAGTAACCCAGTACCTAAACTTAAGTCCAAATAATATATCACATGGTGTGTATTATTACCAGTATTGACTGAACTGTTTAACCTTTATATTAAAAGCCTAGGTTTACATAGAAAAACCCTAATTAAATCATTAGCTTCCTTGTTGCTTAGCCCTCCATGACCACTGTTGAAATGATTACTGACTGACACGTTAATAAGCAGCCAATTAACATGATTAAGATGATTAAGAGAACGTTAATTACCCCAGATATTACGCAGATTACTAACGTTATGACAACATCGCACGACTATGTGACATTTATTCGACACTTTGTTCGCAATACGTTAGTGTTAATTAAGTCGTTATACAGTTTGTGGTAATCAATATTTATGGGTAATTAATTATTTACATTTCTAATAAGATTGACTTTCTTACGGGCAAAACGTTTATTTTCTAAACATAAAACAATGTAGAAAGGGTTTTGACCTATCCTCTAATGTTTGAATGGTTTATGTAGAATTAGAAGCTAAAGGTTTGGATAAGGGTTTAATGAAGCTATAACGTTTGAAGGAAACAGACATATAGCCCCGAGTGGCAATATTTTAATTTCCTACTGACACCAGTAGGTTCAAGTTAGTAGACCGTCCCTGAGTCCACCCAGCTCTGATGGGTACCTAACTTACGTTAGGAAAAGTAAAGGCGGCTGGGCATAGCGCTAACAACACTATCTCTTCATATGCCGAGGACACAGAAACAACTCTAGTTCACTTGCCCAGTAGACCGTCAGGTTTGAAAGGGAACTTTACTTACTTACGGAGACCCGGAACTTATTAATTTTTAAGGTATTTCAGAAAAAGCATTTTTTTTTTTCATTAACTTCTACTCCTAAAAGCAGATATTATATTAATTAGTATTTCAATTTAATTAGATGGTCTTAGGTATTTGCATTAAAACTTCCGCGTGTGGCAATGAGCTATATTTTAAATTTAAAAAGAAAATATTCTAAAAAAGTTGTTATTCTTTTGTTTTGAAAACGTGTCTCCTGAACAAACTTTAAGAAAATACGTTCTGCCTTGAAGGGTTTCTGGTTTATAGAATTTGTACGTTAGTAACAGACAAATAGCATTCAATGTACCAGGCACTTCTAGTAGATTTGACAGGAAACCGTGGGTCTGGCTTTTATTTTAAAGTGTCTTGTATTGGGCTGAGGGGGGGGGGAGGAAATTGAATTTCTAGAACGTCTGACCGAAGATGATTTTTTTTTTACAATAAATTATTTTTTAGCTGATTTTTCGTTGAGAAGCTTTTATGTTCATGAAATAAGAGTGAACTTTTTTTGTAGCACGCTTGAAGATTTAGCTGGGTGATGTAATAAAAACAATTCGACTTGGGACATTAGTGTGAATTTTTTTTATGTCAGCGGTTAAATTGGAAAGTTGGGTGGCATTGCGTATAGTATCATTAGTTAAGTTAGGTTTTGGGGTACTGCAAAAGATTGTTTATTATTTAAGGTATAAATTTGGACGCTGATTAAAGGGTATAGTTGTAAACAATGTATGGAGCGGTAGGGTTCAGTGAAAGAACGTTAAGGGTTCGATGCTCAAGAACTAAACCATAGTATGTCCACGAGCCGACTGTTCCTTACGTCTATATCAGCTTTAGCGGTGTATGGGGTATGTAAGTATAGCAGGAGGGAAACCCAGGGGATACAGACCATGGAGACCCGGGTGGGTCGAACCCTAGGGGTCAGTAGCGCTTGGAATTATGGGTGGTGTTGATACCTCTGGGTCATAGCTCATCGTTGAAAAGGGTAATGGTAAGACTTAAGTCTACATCCTACCTTAATTTGCTAGGCTTAAGATCGCGGTAGAGTGCAGCAGTACAAGAGAATACGAGTTAGTGTAACGACATACGATTGTGAGGTTAATTTAATTTATAATACCGTCTTTAATTAAACCTATAATGTACTAGTTTTTATCTTGCGGAATAATTCGGCAAAACTAGAAGCCTGTACACTAGATAAAATAATTATAATAAAGCACATAATAGGCTAATCAAGATTTTTTTATACTTTAATAGATTGCGTGATTATGGTCAAATTAAATAATTCAATGGTCAAGAAAAAACAAAGGGACGCATGCCTTCATAAACAGGGAAGTGAGAAATAAAAATGATTTTTGTTTGTCAGTAGTTTTAACATAAAAATAGTTTTGGAATTTTGATTTAAAGCAGTATTATTCACAAAGCATTATCAGACATAATTTTTGTTTACAATTGTGATAAGGTGAGGAAGATTGGATGTTAAGAGATCACAGACAGAAGTTTAATCAGTGTAATTATCGTTCCAATTTTATGATTACATTAATTTGAAATCAAGTGATTCAAAAATTAGGAACACTAAGTAAAACACACCATCAATATCTTCTATTTCAGACATTATTCTTCATCTCTCTATCTTTCTCTGTGCCTGTCTCTCTATCTCTCTGCCTGTATCTCTAGCACTCTCTTCTATCAATACGCGATAGGCCCTACATGTATATAGTTATTAAATTAATCGATATGCTTATTAATAATTTAATTATGTGCGCTTGACATGTTCATTTTCAGGTTCAATATGAACCTGCTTCAATTTGATGTATAACTTTCTAACCGGTCAACATTCAACCGGTCTCAATGTGATGTATACCTGCCTAACCGGTTAAATTTGAACCGGTTCTCAATATCATGTCTAACTGTCTAACCGGTCAACATTCAACCGGTCTCAATGTGATGTATACCCGCCTAACCGGTTAAATTTGAACCGGTCTCAGTTTGCTGTGTGTCTGTTGGATTTGAACTCTCGCTCGACCTTTGTTTGCTCTGCCGTACCGACCACCACATTACGGGTTAGTGCGTTGTGTCCCCCAGCCAACTCCTGCCATTTTGAAATGTGATGTTTTTTTTTTGTTTTTTGTTTTTTTTTTTCTAGCCATCTTACGTTGGCTTCGTTATGAAATTATTTTTTTTTGAAATTATTATTTTGCTTGGATAATTGACATTTGTTTTTATTTTGGAGAAATAAAACATTTCTAAAAAAAAAATTGTCGTCCTTTAATTTTTTTTAATGTGCAGCTTGTCTTTTAAATATTTAATATTTTTAAAATCTGTGCTGAAATGGGAGGAGTGTGAATTAAGCTGACAAGTGACACCACCACCCTCCCCTTCCATTTCAATGACAACATAGAGCGTATTAAGTTTACTGTCAGTTTCAGAAGATGCGAATAAAACCCAGGGCTATGTATGATTCCCTCCCACCAACCAGTGTTTCTTCCAGACTCTTTTTTTTCCGGGAGGGCACTTGAAATTTTCGGGGGGGGGGGGGGGGGGGGCGAGGGCGGACACTGTTAAAAATATATTTTTCTTATATACATGTCATTTCGTTCGGAAGGGGGAGGGGTAGATTTTCTTCAAGCGGGGGGGGGGGGGGGGGGGGTTGGTTCCCAACCCTCTCTCCCTAAGAGATGGCTGGAAGAAACTCTGCCACCAACGTTAAATATATCACCCATCAACCAAACAGTAAAAATATAACGAAAAAACAAACAAACAAACAACGACACACTCCATACACACGCCTCTATTGTACATACACCAGATGTTCCATTTACCCACATAACCCTCATACACACCAACATACATTCACATAGCTAAATTAACACACACCCTCCCTATCCCCATATTATCCCATCATCAATGTTAGCATAAAATAAAAAAATAAATTTTTTTAGCGTAGCGAGATCGAATATTCAAAATCGATATTCTTGAAAGTGTGATTTTTTATGCACTTGAGAGATGGTTCGTGTTCTTTTCTGATTTTCTCACATTAGGACTGACTGTATATTTGCACCAGAAATTTATGTGCAACTAAACATTAAATATTTGCACAAGAAAGTAATGTGCAACTAAACATTAAATATTTGCACAAGAAAGTACTGTGCCACTAAAAATATTTGCACCAAAAAGGTGTGTCCTACTAAACCTAAAATATTTGCACCATAAACTGGTGTGCAACTAAACCTAAAATATTAGCACCAGAAACTGGTGTGCAACTAAACCTAAAACAAGGTGTAGGCCTATACTACTGCACATAAAATATTTGCACCAGAAGAAATGAAATTAAAATGTATATAAAAACGATTGATAATATTTCATATGTTTAATTCTGAAATACTAGTTTTCTCTTTAAAATGATTAGTGTAACTCTTTAATTTCGAAATTTAATCAGCAGTTGTTTCCCTTGACTGTTTAGTTATGTCCCTCTAATTTCTCTTCACTCCAGATTACGGCCAAGCAAATGAATGCTATTTTTAGAAACACGGCTAAGCGTCAGTCTGTGTCATTTCAAAGCATGACAACCGTTGTCGTCTGCAAGCACAGGTTTCATTAGGCGGGGATCGATACTAAATCAGATCGATCCGCTGGGTTTAGTTAACATGACCGCCCCCATTAAACCAAGCGTTAGATAAAATGGAGAGAGAAAGAAAATGGGGATAAGGCGGTTGGTGGTAGGGGGTGTAGTGAGGGTATGGATGGGGTGTGAGTGGTGTGTGTAGGGGAGTGGATTGTGTGGTTGGTGGGGTGTGTGGAGGTGGGTAAGTAGTGTGTTGTGTGTTGTGTGTGGCTGTGGTGTGGTGTGGTGTGTGGTGGGGGAGATACACGACTGATGAGTGTGTGAATGTTTATGTGGTGTGAGGGTGTGTTGAAGTGGGGTGTATGGGTGGCGGGGTGTTTATAAGTGGTATGAAGTGTAGGGGTGGTTGGGTGTATATAAGTGGAGTGTAAGGGGTGGTGAGTGTATATAAGTGGTGTGGAGTGTAGTGGTTATGGGGTGTCTGTCTATTGTGCAGGGCTCTCTGATATAATACTTTTAAACCAGAAATCAAAATACAACAATAACACAAGTAACAAACCAAAACCAAACCAATGACAAGGTAATTACAAATTGACTTAAGAAGCATTTTTTAGTTCCTAATAATCATGAATTGTGATGCTAATGGACACCAGCGAGTTGACGAGATTCCTTCCGTAATGTTGTTGACATGGAATAAAAATGTGCTTTTTTAGATTTAGGACCATAAAACTAATAAAAGATAAAATTTTATTAAAAACTTAAGCCTAAAATTAATTCAGAAATGTAATATTTTTAGAATCAATGCTATACAAGTTGCAGATCCAGAGAACTTGAAAATAATTTGTTGAGTTTAAGGCTACATTTCTATTTATTTTCATCAAGCCTAAGTTGTAACCCGATGTTTCACTTTCGTAAGACAAGCATTGATTGGCTGTAAAGGAACTCCGTGATCGATTTCTGACAGCCCCACTTTATAGTTATTTTGTTTACAAAACTTTGCAGATCAAGTTTTTAAATAACTATGCAAATTTAAACACCATGACCTATTTTTTCTATTTTTAGCTTACAATGTGTACAATAAAATGTATAGCGGCCATTGTTTATGTCGCCATTACACGTGAAAACCAAATTGTTTTTGCTTTTTTTTTTAATTTTTAGTTAGTTATCGAAAATATTAAAAACATCAAATACATCCAATCTTTAGTAAAGTCCGAAAAAAACCAGACAGACAGGATTTTATAACCATATTAATTGTAACTACGCCGTGCAAGATTTTTAAATGATTTTATACACCTCTCAAATACCTTTGAGACTTTTCTCGCTGGTGTCCATTACTGATATTTCAAATAATTAACGGTTTCGTACCCTTAAAGGAGTTGGCAAAATACACACATGTATCGATATTGTAAATGGATATGTAATGTAAACAAATACCGCATACATGACTTAGCATACAACACAAAGTTTATAAAGATGTTGTAATCTGTCATACGGGATCAATATTTAACTTACCTTGTCAGTTGAATTTTCAAACAACGCCTGCGCCATCAAATATACATACAAATACTTATTACTAAGCAAACACAAACATACAAATACACATACAAACACATACACACATGCATCAACATTACAAATATAATTTTCGTTACGAAATACCACCGACGAACATTGAAGGTCAAGGTCAACGTACTCACCTTTTGGGTCGAGTCTTGCAGCACTTCCGGCCACAGGTAGCGTTCCTACAGCTGCGAAGACACAGGTGTCCATAGCGCCACAGCATATATCCCAGCACGCCCATAAGGAACGTCCCCAGCAGGGCCGCTATGATGATCCAGGGGAGGTTATCCTAAAACAAGGGAGAAAACACACGATGAAAATAAATAGAACTCGCAAATGTCAATGGCCAACTTAAACATAAAAAAATTTATGGCCAAAAAATAAAAATAAAAATTTAATTAATTATTTAAAAAAAAATTAAAATCATCGCATAGGTCAGCAGAGCTGCGTTTTTATTTAACATGCTATTTTGTACAATATATCTGCCAAGACAAGTTTCGTTGGTCTTTCTTTACTTAAATAGATTTTATTCTTGTTCTTGTAATAATGACAAAGATTTAAAGGAATATTCTGGCGGACATTTCAAGGTAGCGTGACCTCATTGCCAAGGGTCAATTTTATGTCATGGAAAGTTTTGGAATGATAGATCAGACGTGATTACAGAGACCCTTCTCCTACAGTCGTTTCTATTTCTGTCCATGGGTGGATACAGTGTGAACTTTTGACTCCGCAGCACACTAAACTAAGCAGTGAAGAGATATCTAGTTTGCACACATTATTTTAATCTAGTTCTTATGCCATTTTATTTTTTCCCTTTGATTATTATATATGCAATTGATGTTCATTGTTCATGTCTTTGATGCTATGTAAAATCTATCAAATATATTATTATTACTGATTTAAATGTTTAAAACAATTGAATTAATAAAAATAAAAATAAAAAAAAAATCTACCCCCTCCTCTCTCCCCCTCTATCCACTTTACCCTCAGACATGATAACCCCACAATCCCTTTAACTGTTCCAACGACCCCACCACCCACCGCAACATCAATATCCAGAACTTATTTAAAGTTCTAAACCTTGTCTCTTTCCCCTCATCTTTCACACTGCAACCTTTTGAAAACTCAATGCGACCACTACAACACCCTTTCAACTAGTCAACTTAAGTTGTTTCCCTACATAGAAAATGCTTCACTGTCCCATTGACCCTCTCTGAAAAATTTCCTTTCCTCTCCCCACCCAGACTTCTGACACTTTCATTTGACCTTCACCCATTTTACTGTCATCCTTTACAATTTTTTATAATCGAATACATGACATCATGTAAATATTCATTATGTACATTTGCGAAACCTTTCGTTTTCATTTGGTGTTCAAAATTTATGTTAAAAAATTTGATGTTGATGTACTTGTTTTAATTGCAAATAAAAGTATTAAAAAAAATCTATACAAAACTGTTTAAACATTTAAAACTATCATGGTTAACTACGATTACTGTATTTCTTTATTTCTAATTACTTTCATTTGAATTGTTAATCGACAAATCATTTTTAGTAATGTTCACCATTTTGCTCATGCATTGTCATTTTTTTTGTAAATCCTTGAACTATGTTAAAGACTAACGCACACACACATTTGTATATGCTGATGTAATTATTTCTATTTGAAAATAAAAATATTAAAAAAAAAAAAAAAAAATCACAACAGCAAATGACTAGTTATTTTAAATTAAAATACCAATTAGATATTTAGTCATTTTAAATTAAAATATCAATTAGATATTTAGTCATTTTAAATTAAAATATCAATTAGATATTTCTAGCATTGAAATGTAGATAACCTCAATCTGCCCTTCTTCATAGTTGGCCAGAAAAAATTCAACTTCAGTTTCAGTTTGATGATATCAAACCTTAAAGTTCCTCCATTAAGTTATTCTTTCATTGTCATTGATGTACTATTATGATCCTGAACCTTAATGAATAACCTAATATATTATTTTTTGTTGTTCAATACATATGCTAAACCACAAATGTAAAAAAAAATAATTCCTCAACCAACACAACATCGTTAATATACAAGCAGTAAAAGACTAAAATAGCCTAGCGATTCAGCGCTCGACTTTTAACCAGAAAGTCTCGAGTTCGAATCCGGGTTCAAATCAGTGGAACAAAAGCGGATGGGTATAACGCTGACCACGCTATCCCTTCATACGCCAATGTCTATGAAGCAGATGAACTCTACTTTATCTGCCCCATTTGTCTTGGGCACGAACAGGAAATGATGATAAAACTAAAAACAAGTTAATAAAAGGTCTAGTGACAATTTAAGCGCAATGTCCTTATGTTATCTAAAAATAGATAGTGATCACAAAGACGTATAATGCTGGGGTGCGTTCAAGCTAGGAGAACGATCGGTTTGTAGGTGTTTATGTAATTTAAAAAAAAAAAATTTGTGACCGAACGAAAGGATATTTTTGAAAACTTTCTTCGGCAATATTGTTCTAAATTATGGCAGAAATCGATTGGTAAATGTTTCAAGTCGCTAAGTGGTCTGGTTGCCGAGATATGGGACAAAAACTGCATTTTTAAAGGTGTTTTGGCTTTTCCGGGAAATCCAGGAAGGAATTCCGGGAATTTTTTTGGCCCAACATCATCCTCGGAACTTGCTTAACATATTTGCTTTTGGAACTAGTCCTCGATACTGCTTCGTTGAGGAGGAGATACGACTTAAAGCTGCGGACACACATCGGACACACATCCATCCTTGACGAGTTAATAATCGCCATTGCCCGTATGGAAATTGCGCTAAAAATATATATGCTTAAGTTACGTTTTGAAAGAAATCATAAATATTCTAACGACAGTACTCGGGATGACAGAGTAAACTTCAATTAAAAGTGTAGTCATAGTTCTAAGACAATGAATAGCGTGTACATAATTGGAAGAAGAAAAGAAAAAACTAACGTAAAAAAATCATTTCAAAGCCTAACTTTAACCCTAGTCCTAACCCAGGCTATAAGTCAACTCTAAAACCGAAGCAAGGTAATGACAATACAAGTTTGAAGTCAAGCAAGTAGTTACATTTCCGTTATCCAGCTGGCAAACTATAGGGCTGGTAAGTAGGTCACCAACCAGTTCTACGGCTCAATAAAACCTGCATGAGCCATATAACTGGTTGGTGACCTACTTACCAGCCCTATAGCGTTTACTTACATCTCCCTTTTTGGAATATTTCTTGGTTGTTGTAGTTGGCGTGGTTGTGGTTGGTGGAGGCTTTGTTGTTGATCTAGGTGGTGGAGTTGTCGGACATGGCTGATTCAAAAAAAAATTCCAAAATAATTTTAAAAAAGAATTGGTATCCTATTATTTTATATGTATTACTATTATTAATTATTATAAAACAAGAAGACAATAAAAACTATTTAAAAAAGACACTAAGGTATATTAATTTAGAAATTTAAAAACAGAAACAAAATCATAAATAGTTTATAATCAGACCTGCCACTTGAATCAAAGTGTCTGGTCTAAGTAAAAAGATTTTAATTACACAGGTGACAAAGGTTAACGAGATAGTTATCTCATCAAAGATAGAACAGGCAGCTGACAGACATATACTATCGTGGTGTTATGGAAATAGTTCTGTGAGCGTGTAGACTTAAGGAGCTTTGGATGACAAAATCTGAGTCACGTGGAGTGATTTTATGAGGAACTAATCCTATGGGAATTCAACATATTAAGCTGAACCTACACAATAGAAGTCTGTGTAGCTCATACTATATTATGTGACTAAACTCTGTTGGGCTAGAGTTATGTGATGAACTAATGTCAATGGAACTAGACATTATGTGACTAAAGTCTATGGGACTAGACATATGTCACTAAAGTCTATGGGACTAGACATATGTGACTAGTCTATTTGACTAGACTTATGTGACTTAAGTTTATGGGACTAGTCTATTTGACTAGACTTATGTGACTAAAGTTTATGGGACTAGACATATGTGACTAAAGTCTATGGTACTTGACGTAAGTTACTAACTAATGTCAATGGGACTAAACATAATGTGACATTAGTCTAGGTAACTAAACTAATGTGATTAAGTTATGTGATTAAAGTGTATGAGAATAGTCATTTGGGACTAAATTAAAATGATTGTTTGCTTTTAATAATGATTGTTGGTTCTCATTATCATTATTATTTCCTCAAATAAACGTTAATCGGGGTTTATTATCCAGGGGATTTTTGGCGCGGAGGAGGGGGGGGGGGGTTCAGGGAGGGGTTTATGAAATGACACCAACATAGTAAGACCGATCCTGGTTCTGTAAATGCCGTATGTAAAATACTCACCGTGAACCGGACGGAAATGACAGCCGGGTTTTTACTCCTAAGCGGCCCGGGCGTCTGACCCCTGTCGTAGGCGTAAGCATTAAACGTGACAACCGTCCCAGCTTTCAAGGCCTGTGTGATGACGACCTCCCCTCCACTGCCGACACTGACACCCCCGCCCGATCCTCTGGGGGAGACATAGATGTCATTAATGTCATGTATGTCATACATATAATACATGCTATGCATGTGTCATGGCGTCATGTGTGCAAGTAATTATGTAAATGTCATATCAAATTCTTCATAAATGTCACACATGTCACACATACAATCGTACATAATATCCATTTCAATCCCCCCCCCCCCCCCGCATTTATTTATAAAGAAAATATTTACTTTTAACACTGTCCGCCTCTCTCCCCTTTCAGAAATTTAAGTCCGACCCCCCAAAAATTTCAAGTGCCCCCCCCCCCCACCTACTCGGAGAAAAATAGTCTGGAAGCAACACTGTTAACAATTATGGTAAATGCAGTGACATAGATGTCACTAGGCTTATAAAATCTCAAACAACATAATGCAATACAGGTTTCATAACTTGTGTTGCAAGTCAATCCTCATACAGTGCACAATGCATGTCATAAATGTCAAACATACACACACTAGTATAAAAATCACACAGTTCTAAATGTCATACATAGGAAAGTTGTCATGTACATCAACCAAAGTGCTACAGGTAAACAAACCACAATTTGACTTACTGGTAGTAGATGACGTTGTTCTGTTCACGTGAAGAATCTTTATCTGTGGCAGAGATTGTCCCAATTTTGGTGCCTGCAGATGGTGGATAGAACATGACAAAACTACTCTGAGCTATTGCATGCTGTGTTTTCACACAACTAACACCTCACTAAGACAATTTGTATGCTGTGTGTTCACCACCTAACTACTCACTTCGTCTAGTGCATGCTGTGTGTTCACACAACTTACTACTCACCTGCAGAGGTGCACTCCGTGGCAGCGAAGGTGTAATCAGGTATGTCAAAAATTGGTGCGTTGTCATTGCAGTCGACGAACGTCACCTCTACGGTAGCAGATGACGTCAAACCCCCCTTGTCTTCGACCTGCGAGACATAAGCAACATAGTTTCAGACTAAATAACTGACTGCATTGGTTGATACTGATTATGGAAGACACTATGGCGAAAACTTAAAACTTTACAAAACAAAAATGCATTATCATGTTTGACAAATTGATAAGAACTAAATACAACCATATGTAGAACGGTAGGAAGAGGATATTGAGGGTGACACTAAAACAAAACAAAGTCAAATTCAAAACTGTTTTTATAAAAAAAATAAAAATAAAAAAGAATGGTACACTGAAGAAAAGCTAGAGTTGATACTCTAAATAACAATCTGACGGTGAATAAATGTACTTCTCTATTGTACGACTCAAATGTATTATGACTTTAATTAGTTTATTGAAAAAAAATTTAATGCAAGATTATCAATCCCCTTTTCCTTCTGTAACACCAACTAGATGAAAATATTAATCAGTGGGTGCTTTGAAAAAAAAAAACGTCATTAAAATTATTTTAAAACCGTCTTGTTGCTATTGAGGTATCGCACGGTAAGCCTTCAAGACATAACATTTTATCTTTATTAAAAAAGTATTAAACAAACTATACTTAATCCAAAGTTATATAACAGCAACCCTAACCGCAACTCTAAAACGCTTTATAGAGAACCATAATCTGATTTCCCAGACTCGTGACGTATTCTATTATTTACTGAACATTTTTTTATAATCGAATACCTAAGTCGCCTAGGCTACTGTTAAAATCGATTACCTGCACGCACCATGACTTCTTGTAATCGATTACTATCAGGTAGCATTTCTTATAATCGATTACCTGCACGTACCATGACTTCTCGTAATCGATTACTATCAGTTAACATTTCTTACAATCGATTACCTGCACGTACCATGACTTCTTGTAATCGATTACTTTCAGTTTAAATTTCTTACAATCGATTACCTGCACGTATCATGACTTCTTGTAATCGATTAATATCATGTAACATTTCTTACAATCGATTACCTGCACGTATCATGACTTTTTGTAATCGATTACTATCAGTTAACATTTCTTACAATCGATTACCTGCACGTACCATGACTTCTTGTAGTCGATTACTATCTTACAATCGATTACCTGCACGTAAAATGTCTTCCTCCTTGGCGTGGTCACGACATCTACGTCATAGTCCATCAGAGTCTTCAGGAATCCTGTGGTGGGGTCGATGCCAAACTGACCCTCGGGGTTAGAGGTCATGGGCAGTAGGGTCCACCTCTGGGTGTCCGGTTGGTCTTCGTCTAAAACGTGAAGGTGTGAGTCGAACTCTCGCTGTGGGGAAAGTCATGAAGGAATGGACATGTAATGGGATGTATGGAAGGCTGGATATGTAATGGGATGTAAGGAACGTGAAGGTGTGAGTCGAACTCTCTCTGTGGGGGAAGTCATGAATGGACATGTAATGGACATGTAATGGGATGTAAGGAACGTGAAGGTGTGAGTCGAACTCTCGCTGTGGGCAAAGTAATGGAGGAATGGACATTAGACATGTAATGGAATGTAAGAAGGATTGGACATGTAATAGGATGTATGGAGGATATGACATGTAGTAGGATGTAAGGAGGATTGAAGATGTAATGGGATTAACGAAACATGGACATGTAATCGGGTGTATGGAAGATATTGGACATGTAATGGGATGTATGGAAAAATCGACATATAATGGGATGTATGGAAAAATGGACACGTAATGGAATGTATTGAAGATATTGGATATGTAAACGGGTGTATGGACGACTGAACATGTAATGGGGTGTAATGAAGAATGAATATATAATGGGATGTATGGATGAATTGACATGTAATGGGATATATAGGAAAATGGAAATGTAATGGGATGTTTGGATAAATGGACATGTAATGGGGTATAATGAAGACTGGACATGTAATGGGATGTAGGGAAGATATTGGACATGTAATGGGTTGTATGAAAGACTGAACATGTAATGGGGTGTAATGAAGACTGCATATGTAATGGGATGTATGGAACACTGACCATTAAGCGAAACGTACGAGAGGTAAGATGGAAGACTATATGACTGCTAAGATTTAAGTTCAAATCCTAGGCTCGAGTCCCTAGGACGTTGTGGAGCTTACCCAGCTCTTAGGGGTACCTGACTCAGGGAAAGGGAAGGCGATTGGATACTGACCACGCTACCCTTTATTTTCCTAAGTCACTGAAACACGTAAACTAACTTGACATACCCCATAGCTTACTGTAACCTTTTATTTTACAAATATTGGTATTCAGGAATGTTGAATCATTGTTAGAACTGTTTTGCACATGGATATTTTATTTTGTGTAAACAACTTACCACGTATTTTTAAACTAAGGGAAACAACTTACAATTATATTTTCAAAGTCATTAAAATTACGTAAATATTAAGAATCATTGAAAATTAAAATAAATCAAAGACTACTTTTTAAGAATACATTACAGAACTTTCATTTATCATCAATCTGATTTCAAAGTACATAAAGCCAATGAAGATTACTATATATTTTGTTATATTTAAAATTATAAAAATGTTTTCGATATCAAATGCATAAACAATATAAATAATAATTGAAATTGGATCAGGATTATTATTCTTGCAATTTTTAGGCTTTTTTACTTTCTCGTATATTTGAAGTCTTCAACCTTCCCCATCTGAACTAGGACTGACAAATATATTAAAATGACCTCAAATCATTTGCGCTTTATAGCAAGAACTGTTCTTGTAAAAAATAATGACATAGAACCAGCATACAGACTTTTGGATAACATTCTGAGAAAGGAACATTTTTTCTCTGATGTCAAAAGAAAAGAAAGATTTGAGAAACCATTTCTTAAAAGAAGTCGCCTGACCTATGAAAGATGTCGGAGAATTTATGATTCTGAAATGCGCAGAAAGATTGAATTTGTCATGAGAAAGAATCGACCAGATCCATTTTTGAGATAATATGTGAAATTTTCTATGCCATTAAATTTGTATGACTACCTGAAAAAAAAAAAAAAAAAAAAAAAAAAAAAAAAAGTATTTTTGAAGTATAGAACCACGCACGCCGAGAAAAAAAAAACCACTTGAATCATCATTTAATTATACATTTGCACTTTCAGTTTCAGGTTGGTTTTTAATTTTTATTTTTTCTTTATATTTAGACGTTTTGTATTAGATCTATGTATACGTAAACCATCTTAAATGAATGAAAGCAGGCTACAAGTAAGAAAGAAATATTACTATTGTAAATCTGTATCAGTCCTCACAAGCCGATGATGAAAACGAATACTAAAGCGAACACACAACTGACGATTTCTTTCGATTTCCACCCCCCGTAAAACTTTCGATTTGCACCCCCCCCCTTATACTTTATATATATATATATATATATATATATATATATATATATATATATATATATATATATATATATATATATATATATATACCTGGGGGTCTATGGGGGGCCCCCCTAACAACCCCCCTGCCTACGCCACTGCCCGAAGTCATTACCTCCTTGTCAATTACGCCCCCCCCCCCCCGCTCCGTCCCCACACACACACTTTGAAGAACCCTGACCCTAACCATAATCCCAAACCCCAACAACAAAGCTATATTTAAACCCTAGCCCCAACATCAATCCTAGCATCAATAGGGCTGGTAAGTAGGTCACCAACCGGTTATACGGCTCAATAAAACCTGCATGAGCCATAGAACTGATTGGTGACCTACTTACCAGCCCTATTGGTAGCTGGGGCGTTGTTTCCATTTACAGTTGTGGCTTCGGACCCCGTCTTACCTATACACTTCTGACATAACATTTATCTGGCAATCTGTACATTTCTCGTTAAAAAGCATTGAAATAAAACTACGTCTACTTGAACGATAGTTGCCACCCTGGACACCTATGTTAGCAAGTGAGGTGTGTATAGGTGTCTGTTGTGTTTTAACATAACCGGAAGCCTTACCTGCCCCTCGCAGACTTCAAATTCCGTCCTATCAGGGGTTATCTTGGGCGGCTCGTTGACGTCTGTCACCTGAAGAAGTGGGGATCGATTATATTTTTGTATTTTATTTTTGTATTTTATTTTATTTTTGTATTTTATTTTTGTATTTTATATTATTTTTTATTTTATTTTATTTATTTTATTTTTAAATTTTTAATTCTTTTTAAAAAAAAAATTAATTTTTAAAAATTTTTAAATTTAATTTTTTTTTTATTAATAAAATAATATTATCAAGCCATTGTCGGAAATTGTGTTTAATTGTATTAATTTCTAAAAAAAATGTAACCGCTGTGTTACGGTAGTGACATTTGATATAGAATCGTCCCACTGCAAAGTATCTTTCATGCATCTCTTCTAAGTCGAAAAAAGTCTCTAGCACCCCACCCACTCCACACGAACGAAATGAAAAAATATATCGGAAATATATTCTTTGACCAGTATCCGCCCACTGGAAATTTAAGTCACCAAAAGTTACAAGTGCCCCCCCCCCCCCGGATAAATAGTCTGAAAGAAAAAGAGCTAGTATGAGGGATGTGATTTGACTATTTTGACAAAGGGCAATGGATCAAAACATGAGATATCACACTCTGGCATTAAATGAGCAATTTTTTTTCTTTGTGTGAATGTTAACATTTCTTTTATAATTTGAATATACACAATTTTGATACAATTTTAGATAAACCTTCATACTGATGAACGAGCTCATTTTATTTTTCATAGAAAAATACGTTTCAAAAAATGAAAATGGCAATTTGAATGTGGCATAATGTGACGTTATTTTTAAAAGCGGTCTAACAATTTTGTGACGTATGACTATTTGGATGGGGTGCGAGATTAAAAAAAAAAATTCATAAAAAACGTTTTAATAACAAGCTTTTATGTAATGATGCACTAAAAAGTAGAAAATAAATTATAGACTACTATTTAAATAACTATAAAGAAAAGCGTGGGTCACTTTAGTATCTATTGGATACCTTTACTAATGTTAAGGAAGACACCCACGCTTTTCTTTATAGTTATTTAAATAGTAGTCTATAATTTATTTTCTACTTTTTAGTGCATCATTACATAAAAGCTTGTTATTAAAACGTTTTTTATGAATTTTTTTTTTCAGTACTTTACATGTTTTATCTACAATAGAGTTACATGACTAAAAACCATTGCGCGCCTACTGAATATCACGTTCAGTAGGCGCGCAATGGTTTTTGAACGCAGCCATTACGTGGTCGTGATGGCGCAGCTATTGATGACGGGTGTGGTGTGGTTGGCTAGACATGCCTACTAATTCGGTCCAAATTTTAATTAATTAATAAAAAATTAATTAGGCATCCGATTAAGTCAAATTTAGTTTCAGATTGCATTGTCTTCATGTCTTGACCCACGTGCCAACTGTGAATCGTATCTGTCAAGTAGAACTGTCCGAATTTTCACTCCTGCGTTTCCGTCTAGACTGACGACAGACAGAGGAAGTGAGTTAAATAAAAGCTTGTAAAAAATAGACAGTTCTAGATATATGTACGACTTCCTAATTGAAATAACATTAGTTTCGCTTCATTAAACCCCCAAAGATTTGAATGCAGATAGGTGACTTACCTTTAGACGTAGGTGGTAGGGGGATGAGGTGCAGAAGCCGTCAGTGGCCTGTATGGTAAGGTCTGTCTGTCTGGACGCCAGGTCTTCGTAGTTCAAAGCTCCGGCAATGTCGACGTTAGGGTTTTTGCCTGTAATGCAATCATATGGTATATTGATAAGTCTGTTGTAGGATCATTTTTAGTATTTTATACCTGCAATACATTCGCATTTTATGGGATCAGATTGTATGACTGTAATACAATTACATGTTACAGGACTATACCTTTTGCCTGTAATACAATCACATGTTATTGGATCATATCTTTTGCGTTTAATACAATCACATGTTATATGATCACATTTTGTACATGTAACATAATCATGTTATATTGATAAGGCTGTGATAGGATCATTTTTTCGTATTTTGTGCCCATAATACAATCACATTTTATATTCAGAAAAGCTGGAAAATGAAGAGGTATAATGACTAACATAACATTATTGAAATGTAGAGAATAATCGGCATATTGAAAGCGTAAAACTTGTTTTTATGTTAAAATATCTCAAATATGTCATTTAGGACATGTTGAGTACAATTATTTTGATTTAATTATTTATTTCAATTAAGGAGATTTTTTATATTATTGTGTACATGTATCCTTGGCTCAATGATATTCATAAATTAAGGCCTTATTGAAAACCTGTATTAATATTAGTGGCCACAACCAAGGTGTTTATTTACTGCTGCAAGTTTCCACAGAATGTGTTATGGTTGTGTTGGGGTGAGAAAAATGTTCATGTGGGGGAGTCAACTAATCATACACGCTGGTGACATCCGCAGTGGGGGCGGGGAGGTAAATTGGTTCTAGCCCAGTGGGACAGGGCGTGTCAAGAATACTGCTCTGGCCGTCAAGTGGGACACTGAGGAGTGAATATTTCACTGGCCGTCCATTGAGACAGGAGTGAATATTTCACTGGCCGTCCTATGACACACAGTGAATATTTCACTGGCCGTCCTATGACACACAGTGAATATTTCACTGGCCGTCCACTGTGACAGCGAGGAGTGAATATTTTACTGACCGTCCATTAAGACACCGAAAAGTGAATATTTCACTGAACGTCCAGTGAAACACCGAGTGAATATTTCACTGGCCGTCCACTGAGACAGAGAAGTGAATATTTCACTGGCCGTCATTGAGACACAGAGAAGTAAATATTTCGCCGACCGTCCACTGAGACACCTAGGAGTGAATATTTCACTGGCCGTCCAGTGAGACACCGAGGAGTGTATATTTCACTGGCCGTCAACTGAGACACTGAGGAGTGAATATTTCACTGGCCGTCAAGTGAGACACCTAGGAATGAATATTTCACTGGCCGTCCACTAAGACATCGAGGAGTGAGTATTTTACTGACCGTCCATTAAGACACCGAGTGAATATTTCACTGGCCGTCCAGTGAAACATTGAGTGAATATTTCACTGGCCGTCCAGTGAAGCAATTAAGCGACAGAATACCACTTGCCGTCCATTTTCACAATGCATGTATTGTGACAATATGCCCAAAATATTTCATTTGCCTTCTTTCGTAGCAATGTGTAAAGAATTTCAAACTAATTCACGGATTTTTAACCTTTTTGGAATTACCGAACCCCACTAGATCTAGTTTCAAATGCGCATTCACCGAACCCTTCTATTGTCCATGCTTACAAAATCCGAAAGTGAATTATATGAATTGGGTGTGTGTCTTGACCTCCGCTAAAACCCTGAGACTTACTTACCGAACCCCTAGGGTTCAATCGAACCCAGGTTAAAAACACTGAATTAACTGTGGGGACTAAGTTCTACTAAATTTAGACTGGTCGTCCATAGTTATACATTGCGAAGCATATCACAATTATCGTTCATTTATGCAAAGTGATACATTGTTAAATCACAATGGACCTTTCTTAAGGAAGAAGCAGTAAAAGTATAACATGACAACATGACGTAAACCATCTAAGGATATAGAAAACTATACTACATCCAGCTGTATTTATAACCGACTGTAGATGAGCATCGTTAGTATTATCTGTGCACAGTTTAAAGCTATCATCGGGTGGAGGGGATATTAAACCAACTAAACGTTGCAAAATTGGCCTGAAGAAAATGTATTTTTTTTAGAATTGTAATAACTGACGGGTGAATAAAAATATGTATATATATATATATATATATATATATATATATATATATATATATATATATATATATATATATATATATATATATATATATATATATATATATATATTTTTTTTTTTTTTTTTCGCGGGGAGGGGGTGTGACACCATTAATTCCGCAACGGGTTACACCCACCGTAGCGACGCCATTACTAAGAGCATCACATGCCCGGACCTTAAAAACTGAGAGCGTCAAGAATTATTGTCACTGACCGTCCAAGGTAAACTGCGCCACCCCAGGGGCGTTGTTAGAGGTCACCGTGTAGGTCACGGGGTCACCGTTGCCGTCAGAGAACAGCATCTTGTAGGCGGTGCCGGTAGCGTCTTCTGGAACTTGGACGGTGGTGTCCAGATTGGCGGCCACAGGAGGAACATTGGCGTCTGAATATATATATATATAACGAGCTTAGACATACATACATATGTGTGCACGTATATGTGCGTACGTGTGTGTGTGTGTTTCTGTATGGATAACGGTTACATGTATTAATTTTTGAATACGTGATGAAGCATTACCAAATGTATAGGTAAAATAAGTTACATAATTTTGAAACCGCTACGTCGTATAAATAGGCATTTCAAAAAAAAATTCAGCCGCCGTGCTACATGAATGGACATCTAAATAATAAATGGTACATATTACACAGGTATATGACGGCTTGGCCTAGTTGTATAGCGCTAGACTGCTAATCTAAAAGTTTAGTATTTGAATCCAGGTACAAAGCTGTGGACCTTATCTCAGTCCACTTAGCTCTGATGGGTACCCAACTGACATTATGGACAGTAAAGGCGGCCGGACATAGTGCTGAACAAATTATCACTTTATATGCCGAGGTCAAGAAACATGAACTCTGCTTCATCTTCACAATGGATCGCTAATTCTAAAGGAGAATGTTTACTTTTTTTTACTTTGATTACTCAGTTGGGAGGTCAACCTAAACAACTCACCAGGTGGGAGGTTAACCTAAACATGTGTGTAACCAACTCACCAGGTATGGAGCCGTCTATAACCAGAGGTCCCACGGTGTTGGTGCCGTCGCTGATGCCGACTTTGAAGGTGACGTCATTGCGACATTCTCTCTTTAAGTCAACCGTCGTCTTGATCTCTCCGGTAACTGTTACATGTATTAGTGGGGGTCATTAAGGTCATTATTTTCATTAGATAATGTGGTTTATTAAAACAAACAATCAAACACTCACACATTTACACACGATCGTATCAATCCAGACTATTTAAAAATCAACTTTAAAAAATATTTTAAAAATAAATAAAAAAATAAATTAAAATTTTCAAATTTTTAGCAATACTTAAAGAGAATATATCATAAAAATTAAAATTAACCAATACATTAAAATATTGAATCAGCGAATACATCGAGTACCTGGATCGATGACGTAGTTTCCGGCAGATGACGCTGGCAGTACCTGCAAGGAATATTTGATGTCGTCATGTTCTTCATCGTCTGCTTGAGCGTGGTACACAACCGTGCCAGAGGTCATTCCAGCACTCATGGTCGCGCTATCTGTGATTGGGATATATATATATATATATATATATATATATATATATATATATATATATATATATATATATATATATATATATATATGTATATATATATATATATATATATATATATATATATATATATATATATATATATATATATATATATATATATATATATGTCGGAGGCGTAGCAAGGGGGGTGTGGACCGCATCGGGTTACGGTTACACCATTTAGGAGGTGACTCCAAGGCAAATATAGCAAAATAGATAAAGAAAGAAATGATCATTCCAGTTAAATATATGATTAATTAGAGTCTAAAAGACCTTTAAGGGCAAAGTTAACAAGTCCCAAATAGAGCATATATTTAAGGAATTAGTTCATTTTTAAAATTTGATTTTTGTTTTCTCATTTTTAAAGTATTTTTTATAAAAAATTACGTCAACTGATGTTTTTTGTGTTGCGGGCACGTCATAACAGACAGTTGAAAGAACTTACCAAACAACTTATCTGGGTCAAAGTGGGGCGGGGTGTTGGGTAAGACCGTGACCTCTATGACCTCTGTGGTGGACTCGTGGTTCATGTCGCTACAGGTCAGGGTGAGAAGGTAGGATGGCGCCGAGCTGTGGTCTAGGGTTCCAACCCCGGCACGGTACTGGAGACTTTCATCTGACACGTAAAAGTTAAGTAAATGTTGACTATTCGTTAGAGCAAGTTATTTTTAAATAATAATATTTACGCGATGTAATTAATTAAATGATGATTTCATTAGTAAAATTAAGAGAAAAAAAATCATAATTTAGAGCACCTCACAACACAGACTACAATCTAACCCTCACCCTCCCCCTACCATATGTGATCTCACCTGCGCCAGTATAGAGCACCTCATACCACAAGATACAACCTCACCCCCGATCTCCCTCCCTACTATATGCTATCCCACTTGCGCGACTACAACCTAACCCCCACCCATCTCACCCACCCTTATTTCCTAACCCCACCCCTACCATTTTTATGTTATCTCACCTGCGCGATTATAGATCACCTCAAAACACAGACTTCAACCCATCCCCCATCTTCCCCACCCCCAACACCTCCATATTTGTCACCTCACCTGCGCCGGTATTGAGCACCTCAAAACACAGACTACAATCTACCCCCCCACCCCCCCCCCACCCCCCCATCTCCCCACCCCCCACCCACCAAACATCACCTCACCTGCACCATTATTGAGCACCTCAAAACACAGACCACAACCTACCCCCCATCTCCCCCATCTTCCCCCACCCCCACCAAAAACACCTCACCTGCGCCATTATTGAGCACCTTAAAACACAGATTACAACCTACACCCCATCTCCCCCTACCCCCAACACCCCCACTAAACATCACCTCACCTGCACCGTTATTTAGCACCTCAACACACAGACCTACCACCCCACATCTCCCCCCCCCATCCCCCCACTAAACATCACCTCACCTGCGCCATTATTAAGCACCTCAAAACACAGACTACACGGGTTGTTGGGCACCATCGACGTGATGCTGGTTGTTGTCTTGTCACCATCGGGATCATGACACGTGATCTTTGACAATTCTTCGTTCACGCTGGTTCCTTCTTTGATCTTCACGACTTTGGTGAACCCTGTAATCTCAGGCTGGTTGGAATAGTAATATATCATCAGTGGCGTAGCGAGGTCGGGTGTCACCCGGTGCGGCACTTAATGGTATCACCCCCCCCCCCCTCCCAGAGGCATAGAGACCCTTCCTAGGGTCAAACTTTCAAATTTTCGATTTGCACCCCCCCCTCAAGTTTTCGATTTGCACCCCCCCTCGAGTTTTTCTCTATATATTTAGCTATTTTTTGCCTTGGTGTCACCCCCCTAAATAGTGTCACCCGGTGCGGTCCGCACCCCCAACCCCCCCTTGCTACGCCCCTGTATATCATGTTAAGTAATAACTATTTCTAGTTGTACACCAATATGGATGTACGTAATTTAAAAACAGCTTAGTACTGGACTACAAGATGTAAATCTATACGTTTCATAGCAGCATTCGAAACTGAATGCAAATGTAATGGTAACAGCCTCCAATCCAGAGGCGTAGCGACGAGGGGGGGGGGGTTAAATGTGTCTTCGGGCGCCGACCCCAGGGGCGGCAAAATGGGTTAGAAAAAAAATAATAAAAAACTCAGTTTAGCTACAGTTTTGAATTATAAGTATAACAAATACAAAGGGGGGGGCAAATTGAAAGTTTGTTCTCGGCGGCCGGGAGGGGTCGCTACGCCTTTACTACAATCTACCCTCTTCCCAACACTAGGCACTTTATAATTATAATCTAAAGTTTACTCATTTAAATATAGCAACTCTTCACTCTTCTAACACACACACACGCACACACACACACATACACACACGCACATGCGCGCATATTATATATATATATATATATATATATATATATATATATATATATATATATATATATACATGTGTGTGTGTGTGTGTGTGAAATTTTCTTTAGGATCAACGTAAAACAAGGCCAGTCTCTACAATGTTAAATTGAATCAAACTCATAGCTCTCAATAAAGTAAAATTTTACCTTAGCAGCCACTAGCGTACACAACAGAATCAAATCAAATCCGAACAAGGCCCACAACTCCATCAATCCTCTGTCGGCAATAACACAACCAATAAATCAAATTGTACAAACAAAACCGAAAAGTCCCAAATGGGTTCTAACCACAGTTTCAAATATTTTCCAGAGAACTTTTCAGTAAGTTTTAAAGTACACGATTATATAAGTTTATAACATGTTCCTTAATTTCCTCCCTTTGCGTCTGAATTGGTCACTCATTGAACACACGATTGTCTGGTGTCTCTAACAAAATACATGTTGTTATATTTTATACTTTAAAAATACTTTGTTTTCAAATTAAAGTAGACTTAAGTGATTTTATAACAGTTTAACTAGTTTTTGTGTTTATTTATTTTAAATTGAATTACAATTTAAAATGTAATTATTATTTCTTTTAACGGTAAAAAAAATATAAATTACTATTCAAGAGAAATAAAAACACATAGTCCATATTTCGTGTTGTATTTTAAACCTTGAATCAAACTCTGCTTAAATTAAAGATCACTGACTACTACCAGTAGAAACCTATATTAGTACTGATATACAAGATATATAATGTAACAAAACTTAGCCAATATTTCAATGCGTCAATAGAGAATCTATACATGCATTAAAATAACTTGCTGGATTGTGTCTATTAACTTAGACATTGTTTACTCAAACACATCAATCACAGATATCGATTAGTAGCTGATAGCTAGTTCGATCTGTGTCATGATCAGTGCCATCATTACGTCAACATTAATCTCCAAGACATACAGATATCTTTAGGCTCTATAAATAGACCAACCCTCCCCAATTTTTTTCTCGCTTTTTATACTCGTGTGTTTACAGTAGAGATAAGAACATGGATACTTAAGTTAAAAATAGAACGAATCAGACTAAACAGTAGGGGTCGGCGTGGTCGAGTCGGTAAAGCTCATAGTTGCTAAACCGAAAAGTCAGATAAGGCTCGTTAGCTGGGGACAGCCACTCTTCTAGGAGAGACAACTCCAAAATCAAACAACTGCTGCCTTGTAGTTTGTTCTTGGTTGGACTAAGGCTATGGAAGCAAATCCAAAAAGAAAAAGCAGGCTGAAATCGGAGTCAATGGCCTCAATGGCGCATAACCAATGACACGTAACGCTTAATTGTGTTGGAGGCGTGGTCGAGTCGGCAAAAAGCTCATGGTTGATAAATTCGAACAAAGTCTCGAGTTCAAACCCACTGGCAGATAAATCTCGATCCCTTTCAACACTAATAATTAAGAACGAAGAAGAAGAAAAAGAAGACTGAATAGTGGGTTTTTATTCGCTGTGCAACCATTGACAAATGACTTGTACAAATAGTGGAAATGAGTTGCCCTAAACAAAAACAGAACTCTGAAACAGACATAGGGCGCGCTTACTTACAGATAAATGTTACTTAACCAGACTTATATGCCCCATCTAAAGGCTTCACTATTAATTGTAACACATGCGTCATGAGAAAATAATTTAGGTCTTTATGGATTTATCAAGTTCAATTTGTGATAAAATACAAATATAGTTTTGGCTACGTTTGATTTAATTAGTACTGCGTTTACTTCTAATTAGCGATTTGGTTTACACCTAATACAGTTATAATTAGTCACTTACGAAAGCACACCACTAACTATAACCAAAACACCATATTTGTTGTCAGTCAGCACTAACCACTGACTATGTGGAGCTCTATACTTACTTTAATAATACTTTCACAGATGTGCTACTTTGTAAATTAAAATATTAGCGTATTAGTTACTGAGACCACATTACAATTGCATAAGTCTCTGCAGAAATATAAGAGTACTTATTTTAACAAAGCTGAAGTAGTTGAACTTAATATTAACCACAAAGAGATTTTATAATTCACTTATTCTAAAATTCCATGTCACTGCCATACACAGACAATTTTTATGAAATAAAAATAATATGATTTACAACCGATTTACCACATAAAGGGGAATAATTAACCTTTGAAATTAATAAGGTAATATTTCATTTTTACCTCCCTTTAAAATGTAAAAGTATTATGGATTTATCAATGTGTAAAAGGGGTATAAATTTAACGCGTGGTAAAGTCTTTTTTTTTTTGAGTATATTATACTCTTATGCTTATGAATCACATTTTAGTTGTAGACTCAAACACACTAATTCGAAAATTGAAGGACCGTTAGAAAAGAACACATAAAATAGACATTGACGTGGAATATTTCTCTGAGCTGTCAGAGTCCTTTGAAGATAAGCAATATGTTACAACCACAAACAATTCTAAACATTTTAAATATTTGAACATAGGATACATTTTGTATTAATTGATACCAGTTTTATTTTCTCAATTAAAAAACAAACAAAAAAAAAACGTTTTTCTGTGTCTGTCTATTTTCACCAATAGGCGTACTATTATGTGCTATTTACAAAATAAGCTTGTTAAACCCAACTATAACATACAACGCATAAATAAATAAATAACGACATCATATAAAATTGCTTAGTTCTGTTATTTTTTCTTTACAAGGGAACTTACTCAGATTGATTTTACATTAAATACAACCAAAATCTTTGATCAATGTGTATTTAATTAGAACCGACAGAGCCAAACAGGCATCTATGTCCCATTTTAGCTAGGGTTTTTTTCCAGGCAATTGTATTTATTCCAAACATCATTGGGCATTTTTAATAGCTACGTTCTATAAAATTAACAAATTATTGTGCAAGTGTGATTTAATAGTTTGTTAATTACAACTAAACTATGCATCGAATGGCCTCAAGGAGCAGTTTCGTAGAAAACATAATAGATGCTGAGACAGAAATATAATTATGTTGTTCGTGTTTTTTTTTTGTAGTGGTTTGAGCTAAAATATTTACAGGCCTTTAAACTGATTTAAAAGTTTTCAAATATTATAGTTCATTACGATTTTTTTTTTACTATTTTTTAAAAAGTTACAAATTTCACATGCCTTTAGACAGATGCTTAATCTTTATAACAAGTTGTACATAACGTAAGATTTTTTTACAGATTTGTATTAAAATGTACATGACTTAAGGTTTTTGTACAGATTTTTATTAAAAATGTACATGACTTAATATTGTTTTATAGATTTGTATTAAAAATGTACATGACTTAATGTTGTTTTACAGATTTGTATTAAAAATGTACATGACTTGAAACAGTTTTACCATGCTTAGCATAAAATGTACATTATTTTAGACGCATTTAAAATCTACATTAGCTGAACAAATGGACGGAGTATTTGATCACATGACCTACATCTACAGAATAACACATTTCTTCTGGTTCATATCCTTGAGGTCATCCTGGATTGGGTCATCCACTGGATCCACCGTGTGTGGATAGTGGGGTTCCATATCAGCAGGGGTGGGTAGATTTCTGCGGTCGGGTGGGGTCTGGAAGTCATCGTTGGGGTACCCTGGGGCAAATAGAAGGGGGGAGGGGGGGAGAAAACATAAAATGACTGAAATACTTGGAATTTCACATTGAATGAAATAGGAAATACGATTTTGACTGAATATCGGTATAAAAGATATAGGTAGGAAAAGATGCAAGCATGATTGGGATTTAAATAGAACATTTTATTTCGTTCGGAAGGTCGGTAGATATTTTTTCAGAGGGGGGGGGGGGGGGTGGGGCTCCCCCCAAAAGAGTTGCCTGGAAGAAGCTCTGGCGCTATGTATTCTTAAAAATCATTGTTTGCAATAACATTTTTTTAATAGACGAAAACGAAAAAAAAAATAATCTGCTTTATGAGAAAATTATTGTAGTTGTTTTAAAAATTAATTACCTAATAATTGATTTTCTGTACAAAGACAAGATTCTGTGATGTATAATTTACAACAATTAACAACAATTAACAATATTCCTATATTGTGCTTATCCTATACTTACTTTTTAGAAAATCTAAATAACTTGGAAGTAAGAAATTTAATGTTAGAAAATTAGAAATAAAATTGTTTTCCAGGTAAACATGAATGATGTTATGAATGAAATAATTTAAAGCATTCGCACACATCCACAGAGACATATATGCACAGATACACCCGTTCACAACTGAGCATTTACATACGTACTCATACACGAGTACACATATACACTCATACACACACACTTATATACTCATTTGTACACATACATTTATATACACCTTCATCCGTATACACACATACCTACACACAAACATGCATACTCATACACACGTAAATATATACACACATGCACACCCACACACATTTACAAGTACACATACAATAGTGTACACGCGTACATATATAACCACAAACACATGCACACAGATGCACTCATACATACATTTACCTAAGTATACATATACATATATACACATATACATACATATACATATATACACATATACACAGATGCACTCATATACATATATGTATATATATGTATATGTGTATATGTATACTTAGGTAAATGTGTGTATACATATACACACACATATATATATATATATATATATATATATATATATATATATATATATATATATATATATATATGTATATATATATATATATATATATATATATATATATATATATATATATATATATATATATGTATATATATGTATATATATGTATATGTGTATATGTATACTTAGGTATATGTGTGTATGAGTGCATCTGTGTACATGTGTATATATGTATATATATATGTATGTGTGTATATATGTAGGCTATATGTATATATTTATATATATATATATGTACACATGTACACACTTACTTTCCTTCCAGAACCCAAACAGAAACCCTGGACCAGGTGGTTCAGGCTCCTCCCTGCAACAACAAACATTAGAACAACAAATAGTTAACAATTTTGTTACGGTCATAACATTCAATCTATAACCACTTCCTCCTTTATCACCAACGTTTCCCGTTCGTGGCTTAAATGAAGTAGGTGAAGTAGAGCTAATCGATTTCTATAAAGTCTGGGATAATGTGGTGAGTAATATTTCCACCAGACTGTTACCCACACGTGAGTTAGTTACCAATGGGTGGACTTAAAGAGGTCTGAAGTTCTTGAGTCCGAGATCCGAACTCGGGCTTTTCGTGTTAGCAGTCGTAAGCTCTACTGTCAGACCACGCTGTCTCTTCTTGTTTGGTTTCTATCTATCTTCAGAAAAGTGAATATTATGCGTACTCTCATTGTTTTTTACAAAGAAAACATTTCTAACGAGTACCTAATTTTGCTGTTTAAGCTAGATTTTAGAAGAATGTGTGAACGAAACAGTTGAGATACTAACAATCCTTATATCCCTCTATATAAAAATGTTATAGTAAGGGTTAAGTATATGTGATTACATTTTTTTCGTAACTTCGTTTAATTCTCATATTTTGTCTTATAGTGGACATCGGCTATTCAGAAGTGGATTATGCTTAAGCAAAGAAGTTTTATTGAGCTCTAATTAAAACTTGATTTTTACCAATATAGTCTACTGTTTTTTTAAATCGAAATATTTCGGTATTTTTTTTAAGTTTTAACCATTTATAATTTTAAAAAACCCATTCGGGGTAAATAGTTGTACTTAAAAACAGCAAAAAAAAAAAAAACCATAACAGGCCATCAAACACGTACATGAAACAGCTACCCTGACCACAAAAGCATGCGATATAAACACTGACAGCTATACAGGCACCTGACAACACTGTACCCAAGATACTTACAGAGGCTCATTGTAAATGTTTTCTTCTTTTGCTGGTGCCACACGTCTAACTCTGCGTCTGGAAATAATTGGACAGGCAAGATATCAACAGATGTGTATAGTACTAGATATAATCTCTGTCTATAGATATTTGTGTTTAAAAAGTAGTGATTTCTTTCAAAAGATATGTGTCATGAAACATAGCATCTGCGTCTAAAGATATTTTACTTATAAAATAAGTAATTTGTTTCAAAAGATGTGTCATAAAGGATATAATCTGTGTGTAAAGATATAATGTTATATAGTTGGAAAATGGTTTCTAAAAATATTGATTTTATCTGCCCGATCTAAGGATATTTGTGAGGAGGGCGTGGCCGAGCGCGCATGAAATGTTCATGCAATGTGTTTTTGTGTGTCATGTATTGAAAAGGAGAAAATCATGTATATATATATATATATATATATATATATATATATATATATATATATATATATATATATATAAAATTATATATATATAAAGTTTTTATGTATTTGTATACATTTATTATATTCTTTAGCAATTATGCAAAAAGTTTTAAAGTTATGTATGACACATGTAGCTTAGCAATTTGTAAAAATATATATACATCATGTATCCATGTGTCTATTATAACCCCTGAAGCGTGTCTCTGACACCTACTTGTGTTTACTACACTCACAGTTGAACTTCTGACAGGCCCTAACACACCTGGGTCCATATCGCCAAGCCATACACGTACCTGGGTTTACTACACTCACAGTTGAACTTCTGACAGGCCCTAACACACCTGGGTCCATATCGCCAGGCCATGAAGCCCTGTAGACCTAACATAGCAGTACCCAGAAGCGCTGCTATAAGTATCCAGGCTAGGTTGTCGTCCTTTACATTACATTATGGAATGTTATATATTAGATATGTATTATATGTATTTTTTTTCTAATTAGGTATACTATCTATTTTAAGGATATATAATTATAAAATTTGATGTATATTATAATGGGATGTAATTTTTTGAAAAAAAAGATAAAACATTATAATTGGATATATTATGGAATGTGCGTCTCGTATATTAAAAGGAACTCGAAATAAAATACCTATGTTGTTGATAAAAAATAATATTTAATTTTTAAAAAAATTCACATACTTTCTTTTGAGTGAGTACCGTGGTAGTTTCTGTTGTGATCACTAGAGCTGTTGTTTGTGGAACTGGGACGATAGGTGGTGGTGTTCTTGTCGGAGGGCATCTCTACATATACGTTAATATATATATATATATATATATATATATATATATATATATATATATATATATATATATATATATATATATATATATATATATATATCGGCATCACTTAAGACTTTCACCGTAACATATAGGCTACAATTTTTAGGCATCTATGTATTTAAATCAATATTTAACAATACCAATAATACTTAACCAAAGCTGCAATATTGTATTCAAGCAATTGGTAAATTACCTGTTACCCTTTGATTATTCTAGGTCCAAACGACACACATTGATTATATACCCCATTTTCCCTAATCCCCCAAAAAGCGGGCAAATTACACACAACAAAAATCTAGTCCCCTGCCCACCTTACCAACCCCACCCCTAACCTACACTATACTTTCCCCACTTACCGTAAACCTTACACTAACCACGGTCGGGTTAACACTCATCAAAGGTCCCGGCGTTTGGCCCATATCCCAGGCGTACACAAGGAAGGTCACAACTGATCCAGCTGGCATTGCGTGGAGTACGATGATCTCACCACTTGAGCCCGCGACAACAGCACCCCCAGAACCTCTAGGAGTAAAAATAGTTTTAAAGAAAGGTAACTCGAGTCAGCCAAATAACAACATATTGATTAGCTTCCCTTTGAAAATAAAGTACTGTATTGTTTGGGTTGTGTTCATGGTTACTATTTACGATCGCCCAAGTGATACTTATCTGTAGACTTAATTCACTTTTTAGCATTATAAAAATATGAGTCTCTACAAAAGATAGGCAACCCAGATAGACAACTCTGATCTTTCGTTACCGACTCACAATGCAGTAAATCCTTCTACCAACTAATATTGTTTTGAATTGAACCCCGCTAACCACTAAACTTAGATAACTTAGAACCTTTCTACCCACTTATAATATTCATCGTTAAACCGCCTCTACCCACTAAAATTAAATAACCTAGAGCACTTGTACCAACTTAAAATATACAGAAATAAACCCTTCTACACGCTAACCGCTAACATTATATAATTTGGAACTCTTATACACATTTAAAATATATTTCTTAGAACCCACTACCCACTAAAATTAGATAACTTAGAACACCTCTACCTACCACCCACTAAAAAATACATCAATGAACCCCACTGCCCACTAAAAAATACATCAATGAACCCCACCACCCACTAAAAATACATCAATGAACCCCACTGCCCACTAAAAAATACATCAATGAACCCCACTGCCCACTAAAAATACATCAATGAACCCCACTACCCACTAAAATAGACATTAATGAACCCCACTACCCACTAAAATGGACATCAATGAACCCCACCACCCACTAAAAATAGACATCAATGAACCCCACCACCCACTAAAAATAGACATCAATGAACCCCACTACCCACTAAAAATAGATAACTCAGAACCCTTGTACCAACTTAAAATAGATAACTCAGAGCCCTTGTACCAACTTAAAATAGAAACTCAGAAACCTTGTACCAACTTAAAATAAACATCAAACAACCCCACCAGTCTATGTTTACACCCGCCCCTTCACTTGCCTGTAATGGATGACATTATTCTGCTGTCGACTGGAATCCTTATCTGTAGCAGACAGCTGGAGAACTTTGGTACCTGAAATAGTCATAGGTTAGAAATACAGGTGAGAGACACACGATACCAGTTTTACTGTCTACTGAACCTGTCTTCAGTGTATTAAGACACACGGCGAGTTTCACCATAGTACCTACCCGAAGACCTGCACTCACTACCCACCTGAAGACCTGCACTCAGTACCTACCCTGCATACAAAGTAGTACAGTCAGTACCTGCTCTTCCTGTCTACCTGAAGACATGCACTCAGTACCTGCACTACTTGCCCACCTGTGAAATACACAACACCTACACTACCTACCTGAAGAGCTGCACTACGTACCTGCTGACGTACACTCAGTACCTGCACTACTTGCCTGCCTGTGAAGTACACAACGCCTACACTACCTACCTGGAGACCTGCACTACGTACCTGCTGACGTGCACTCAGTAGCAGACGTTGTGTAGTTCGCGAACTGAAACACAGGGGCGTTGTCGTTACAGTCGAGAAAACTCACAGTGACCGTAGCTGTGGCTGTCAATCCACCTTTATCCTCCACCTATGGAATAAAAAGTGCATACAGATTACCCTTCTTCTTTATTGGATAATCAAAAGTATTGTCTTTGTTTCCATTTAGCTGTGCTTAATTTAGAGGCGTAGCTAGGGGATGGCGGGGGGTGCGGACCGCACCGGGTGACACCATTTAGTGGGGGGGTGACACCAAGGCAAAAAGTAGCGAAATATATAGGGAAAAACTTGATGGGTGGGGGGTGCAAATCGAAAGTTTGAGGGGGGGGGGTGCAAATAAAAAATGTGAAAGATTGTCCCCGGGAAGGGTCGCTACGCCTCTGGGGGGTGACACCATTGAGTGCCGCACCGGGTGGCACCCGACCTCGCTACGCCACTGGCTTGATTTGAAAATTGTGGCTATATGGGGTAAACAAATGGGAACCACTGGCCTACATGTATTGAACTGTATTAGGAAACAAAAACAACAAACGCAAATCACTTCTAAATACTGTATCATAATTTGCAACGTAATTTTTTTTTTAATAAGTGTACAATGACTTCCTATTTTATTAAGGCTGGAAATACTCAAACAAATAATTATTAAGAACAAAATAATAGTAATAGCAAAGACTTTTATTTTTAACGAGCCGACCCGCGGCGTATCATACGCCGCTATTTAGTTGTATTATTTTCTACTTTTCAGTAATTCGAAAGCAGCCTCCTCTTAGTTACCTCCCCTAAGTTTAAAATCGTTTCAAACTAAATTATCTGCCCCTAATAGCGGTCACTAAACCCGGCTCTACGATTATAAACATTTAGCGTGAACCACAGCCCACCAGACCATGTTGGGGTGGGGGTGGTTGCGATATGCCTGGAGAGGAAGAGAGGGGACTTCAAGGCGCGCTTACAGCTTGTTTTCCAACGTCTCCAAGAAGAGAAATATATATATACGAGCCGGCCCGCGGCATAACATACGCCGCTATTTAGTTGTTTCTAATTTTCAATAATTCATAATTTGTGAATTCGACAGTACCAACGCTGACACTGAAAATATTTCTTTAAAACACTATAAGTAGCTCGTTAAGGACCATAACCCCCCCCCCTTTCCTTCCCTCCCCCCCCCTCCTCTCCCCCCCCCCCCCCCTACGTTTAAAATCGTTGGCTCTGCTTGTAAACATTTAGAGTGAACACAGCTCACTAAAACCATGTAGGGGTGGGGAGGTAGGGAGCGCGTTTGCAGCTTGTTTTCTAACGGCTCGAAGAAGAGAATTATATATATAGATAGATATATAGATTTGGATTAGTAAGCAAGGGTGTTGTGGTGATAGGGGATATTATATTATTTAATATAAATACAATACCATGCTATACACCATAGAATACTATTGTGTATTTTTATCATGGAAAAAATAGTTCTAACTTTCCTTTTTTAACTCTCTCTAGCCATTCCGGTTGACTTCAAGGAGAGGTTGAGGGCAGTTTTAAAAATATTTGATTAGATAGAATAATTCTAAGCTGCTTTTCAATGGCTTATATTCAATTCAAAACTATGAAAATGAGTGTAAACTGTAAACGATGGTTCCCAAACAACTTTAAGTTTCTAAATTACAACAACTTTAACACTTGTCATTATTCTTTATTATTTGCAATATAAATCATTAGATAGTGCTAGGAAAGGCTAATAAGCATTGATATAATGTCGTGAACATTTTTAATAATAAAAATTGTTGTATATTTTTATTGTGCCTTAGGTATAATTATTTGTAATTTAAATAAAAATTTCTATTAATATTTGCTATTGTTTAAAAATGTTCCAAACAAAATTATAATTCCTACAACCAACATAAATAATGGTTGCAGAAGTTAAAAGATTTGTCAAGAGCCGATTTGCGTTTGTACCTGAACAATTACAGTTCTTTGAGTTACCGCCCCTGTCTTGTCGATGTCATAGTCCGCCAGTGTGCGGATAAATCCAGTAGACGGGTCAATGGCGAACAGGCCATCCCTGTTGTACGTTGTATTGTTGATCCGCCAGGTGTGAAGGTCAAGTATATCCTGGTCAGTGACCTTCAACTTCGGGTTGAACTCGATCTGTTCTATGTATAGTTATATTAGCCACAGTTCTAATGCATTTAAATCGTATCAAACCAACATACGCAATTTACTTTGTATGAACCGTACATTTAGAAAAGCCATGTTAAGCTAATACTAATTCGAGCATTATATGCTATGAAACCAGTGGCGTAGGCAGGGGGGGAGGGTTAGGGGGGTTATAACCCCTCCCCTAAATATATATATATATATATATATATATATATATATATATATATATATATATATATATATACATATATATGTAGGATTGTATATGTATGGACAAATGTTTGAACCCCTAACATGACCAATTCCTGGCTACGCCACTGTATGAAACCGTACATTTAGACAGGCCATCTTAAGCTAGATCTAGAAGCAATTTTTTTACGTTTTATGTGATAAGAGATGAAGCCTAAACATGTCCTGAGTATGAGTAATACAATTTGCAAACAATTTAAACAATGTAGTTAAATAGAAATGTGTTCACATAGTAATGTGTTCACATAGAAATGTGTTCACATACAAATGTGTTCACATACAAATGTATTCACATATATGTGGGATTTATTATGCGAGGAAATCTGAAGTAGACTGACCTTTCCTTCACATACGTCTAGTCTAGTGTTAGTTGGTGAGATAGATGGAGGTTCGTTTACATCGGTTATCTGCTCATGGACATTGTTAAAGAGATGATATAAAAATACAGCGTACATTTTAAGATATACAAAATATAAAGTAACAATTGAAATTTTAAGACAGGCCTACAAGGTATAAACTAAAGCGTAAATATTATTGAAAGATATACAATATATAAATAACAATGTAAATTTTAAATTTTTAAGACATGCCTACAAAATATGAACTATAACGTAAATATTATTGAAAGATATACAATGTATAAATAACAATGTAGATTTTAACTTTTTAAGACAGTCCTATAAGATATAAACTACAACGTAAATTGTAAGAGATATAAAATATAAACTAAAATATTCCTATAGCTAATTATTTTATTCACAGCTTATCTAAAAAATGGTTGTTTATTTCATATCATTAAGTTCTGTTTTTGAATCTAGGGTTTTATTGTTTACTTACCTAATTAGCAGCCGATGATTGACATGGTATTTATTTGAAAGATTAGGGCTTTACCATGATACTATGTACCTTATGTGCATGTCTATCAGCGTGCTATCAATTATTCGAATAGTATGTACTCGTTGTTTAAAAATAGGGCCTTACTCTTAGGTTTTCGGGGAGAGTCCTAACCAGATACAAAAACAGGCAATTTCCTTATGTATCCACCAAATTAAGTTAAGACTTTACCTATAAATGTATGTGATGTACAGGTAAAAACATACCAGTGTAAGTATGTATTGTTCGTGTAGAGATATTACCTTCGTATGCAGTGTTTATGAAATGTACCTGTATACACAGTAAGTAGTCATTTTAAGAAATTATTGTATACGGAAGTAGTGTCATAACAGACTTTACCTGTGTACGAGGGTGGTGATGTCATAATAAGACCTTACCTGTATACGGAGATAATGTCAAAATAGACTTTACTTATATACGGGAGGAGTGTCATAATAGACCTTACAATATACGGGGGGTGGGGGATGTCATAACAAAACTTTACATGTATAATGGGGCATAAGTGATAATTAGACATTACCTGTATATAGGGGAGAGGGTTGGTGTCATAAAAATACTCAACATGTATACGGGGAGGGGGTAGAGTCATACATAGACCTTACATGTATAGTGTCATAAAAATACTTTACATGTATACGGGGGGGGGGGGGGTAGAGTTAAATAAAGCCCTTACCACTAATCGCAGATGATACAAGGGAGACAAGCAGAAGCCATCAGACAGTTGTATCCTGAGGTCTATCATTCTGTGGTCGAGGTTCTCGTAGTCCAGACTTCCGGTCACATCAATGTTTGGATTCTTTCCTGTGGAGCATAGGAATTTCAAGCTTTAATCAATGTTCGGATTATTTCTTGGGGAGCATCGGAATTTTAAGTGTTAATGTTCAGATTCTTTCATAGGGAGCATCGGAATTTCAAGTGTTTATCAATGTTCGGATTCTTTCCTGGGGAGCATCGGAATTTCAAGTGTTAATGTTCAGATTCTTTTCTGGGGAGCATCGGAATTTCAAGTTTTAAAACTCATCGTAAAAACACACGGAATAGATCTAGTTTTATCATATTAGCTAAGTTAGGGTAGAATTACAAGTATTAAACAAAACATTGATATTGCCCAGCCGAAAAAAACAACCTGCAGAACTCTGAACCAATGTAGTATATTTTCTACTGAATGCTACTGCAATACTTGAATACTACTATCTACATGAAAGTACATATAATACGTGACTTTATAAGGGAGCGAGTTCACACATGTGTTCTGGTTACTGAAGCGAAAAGACGGGACTGATGATTTGTTCACAATATAGTTCCGGTCAGGGAGTTTTACCTGTAGTCTGACAATGACAGTCACTTACCGTCAACACGTAACTGAGCTAGGCCTATGGGTGTTGTTGTGGCAACGGTGTAGGTGATGACGTCAAGATCCGGGTCTTTAAAGATCATTTCGTAGATGGTGTTCGTGGAACCTTCTGGAACGTACACTGTGGTTTCGAGGTTGGAGGCAGAAGGTGGAAAGTTGGCACCTGTTAATTTGAGTATTTAATTTTTTAAATCTCAGCTAAACCCACAATTGGTATTAAATGCGTCATTTAAAAGACAATAGGATCGTTATTTTAAAACGGGTGTGTTAATCTTATGGCTCTACTTAATTTTTTAGCATCTTATGTTAACTAGGGTTATAATTTAAATTGGGTATGTAAAGGCTTGTGAGACAGCGTTGCCTAGTCGTAGAGCGCTAGACAGCTAATCCGAACGTGTATAGTTCGAATCCGTTTTTATGTCAGAACAACGTCCTTGAGTGTACCCAGCTCTGATTGGTAACTAACTTAAGTTAGGGAATGGAATAGGTGATCAGAGGCGTAGCGAGGGAGGGGGGCGGGGGGACGTATGTCCCTGGGCGCCGACCTTACGGGGGGGGGGGGGGCGCCAAATTGAAAGTTTGAGGGGGTGGTGCAAATCGAAAGTTTGTCCCCGGGCGCCGGGAAGGGTCGCTACGCCTCTGTAGGTGATTAACTCTACTTCACTTGCTCCATGAACTTCAGGTCCGAAAAGGAATCTTTACATTATTTTAAGTATTTTTTTTTTAATGTATAGCAAATATTAGTATCATTGATACAAAGCAACAATATGTACATGTTTGTAGAGCCCAGAGCGTGCTACGTAACGAGGTAGCAATCTACATTTGACTCTAATTTCTGTTTGGGTTTCGATGTTGGGAGCCTTGAAAGCATAACTGCTTTAACTAATACACACGTTTTAGTTAATTAAATCATTAATGAACATATGTCTAACAGCTTATAATAACATACCAATGATTTTCACATCAATGACCAGTGGTCCAACAGAATTCTTGCCGTCTGTCATGAAGACCAAAAGTGTATCCGTCATCCGGCATCCAGTACGAAGATTCTTAACGACTCTGATTTCTCCTGTAGCTAACAAGATACATGTAACAAGTTTGTTTTTAATAAATATTTCAGCGTTGGGGTCAAAGGTTAGCACCCACCAGTGGCGTAGCGAGGTCGGGTGTCACCCGGTGCGGCACTTAATGGTATCCCCCCGCCCAGAGGCGTAACGACCCTTCCCGGGGACAAACTTTCAAGTTTTCGATTTGCACCCCCTCTCAAGTTTTCGATTTGCAACCCACCCCCTCAAGTTTTCGATTTGCATCCCCCCCCCTCAAGTTTTCGATTTGCACCCCCCTCAAGTTTTCGATTTGCACCCCCCCCTCAAGTTTTTCTCTTTATATTTTGCTATTTTTTGCCTTGGTGTCACCCCCCTAAATGGTGTCACCCGATACGGTCCGCACCCCCCGCCCCCCCCCCCCCCTCCCTCGCTACGCCCCTGGCACCCACCAAAGACTCTCAACACCAACATCAGTAATGTTTATTCTAGCTTTTACAGATATATATGGAAGTTTGTGGTCGGACGGAAGAGCAACCTAGCTCAGTTTCAAGTCAAAACTTGGGATTTAATCGCTGAATTCCCCAAAATTAAACGAATATTTTACTTTAATGATATGCTTACTGACAATTATATCACCAAGATGTGTGTATATATATATATATATATATATATATATTTATATAGCTGAAAGCTTATATTGGTGTAATTTATTTCATTAATGTAAAATTTATAATGAAATGCCTATGCATCTACTTCCAACATAAAAAACGAAACACGTAATCTAAATTAAAAAAGCGTGTAATACACTCACACGAATTTATCTGGTAATACATTAAAGACGACGTAGGCCTTGTCTGCAGAGAGTAGGTGATGTCGTCGTTTTCATCGTCATCACCATCGACGTTATAGATGACGTCATTGACGAAGTCAGCAAGGACAGAGATGGAAACTGTAAGCAAAGATGGCGGCCTTAATACTCAAGGAATTTCTCATAACAAGTTAGATGCCATGTTTGAAACTTAGTATGGACACGTCAAACTTGTCAATATTTACACCATGAGGAAAGCTACATAGTACTGTGTAAAAATGTGTAACGAATCCAAGTTATCGTCTATTGAGCTTGAACCTGTGCCGCCCCCTAGCCTACAAACCCCTCCGCCTATTACAACACACTGAATATTCATTTTTTTAAAATAAAGTAGCAACCGTTACGGATATTGCAATCCGTATACAAGGTGAAGTTGTCCCCCTGTTTTAGTGACCTCGGCGTAGGGAGGGTAGTGTGGTCAGTAGCGTAGCGAGGGGGGGGGGGGGGGGCGGGGGGGGGGACATATGTCCCCGGGCGCCGAGCTTAGGGGGCGCCAAAATGGGTTGGAAAAATAAATTGAAAGGTTGAGGGGGGTGCAAATTGAAAGTTTGAGGGGGGTTGCAAATCGAAAGTTTGAGGGGAGGTGTGCAAATCAAAAAGTTTATCCCCGGGCGCCGGGAAGGGTCGCTACGCCTCTGAGTGTGGTCAGTACTACGCCCTGCCGTCTCTACTTTCCCCTACGTGAGTCAGGTACAAATTTGACCTAGTTAGATAGTCATTTGATGCTTTCTTATTTTAAAAAAAAAAGGTCTATCAAGGCAAAGACGATTATAAATAAAAGAAATAGAGAAAAAATAAAAGTAACAGTATTACAAAATAAATGTAGGTAAATAAAAGTATGTTTTAAAGTTTTAAAAAAGAAATAGAAGTAAATTTAAGTAAAAGTGGGGTTTAAAGGAATGATAATCTAGATTTAACCCCCCCCCCCCCCCTTTCACCACTCGCCCATGGTAAAGTTCTCTATGGGACCTGACGGTCGACGTGGCAGGTTAAGTAGAGGTAGTCTGTTTATGAGACCTCGGCCTTTTGTCTTGTCGGCCTTTTGTCCATGTCGGCCTTTTGTCTGAGACCCCATTTGACGGAATAGTGCGGTCACCATTATGCCGACTCCCCCGCCCCCACCCCACCCCCACCACCACTCTAGAAAATAAACAAGTAAATCATAACTTACGGTTCAAAACATCCGGGTCAAAATATGGCGGCGAGTTGGCCTGTATGATGACCTGTATGACCTCCCGTGCCGGCTGTTTACCAATCTCGTCGGTGCAGACGATCTCCAGCAGGTAGGACGGTGCCAGGGTGTGGCTCAGTGTCCCCACCCCGTGCCTGTACTGCAGGCAGTGCTGCTGTGTGGGTGGGCTCGCTGGTAGGTTAGGGGCGGGGAGGGGGTGGGGCATTAGTAGATTTCTTTTGGTTTTATGGTATTGTAATACAATAATTCGATACAATGATAAGATTAACAAAATATTTGTGTGTGTAATTAGATTTGGGATAAGGTTATGATAAGTGTCAGACTGTGGCGTGGGGGTGGGTTGGGGGGGGGGGGGGTGGCAGGAGATGGAGGGACGGGGTTGTGGGTGCTGTAAGCAAAGTCGGGTGACACCTTTTTTAGTGGTTGCTACCACATCGCAAAATCTTAAAAGGTGCGGTCAAAACTAAATAGCAGGGGAGGGGGTGTGAAAATGCAACATTGTTGTAGGGGTGGAGTGATATCCTCTTTTACGCCAGAGGGCGCCACCCGTCCTGGTGACGTCACGGGTGTCAGGGACGTTTCAGCAGAAGATTGAAGGTTAAGGGTAGGCATAGTGCTAATGTTAACGTTTTGTTAACGTTTTGTTAACGTTTTGTTAACGTTTTGTTAACGTTTTGTTAAGATTACAGACAGCGTTATATTTAAGATTTAAGGTATGGTTAGATTAAGAGAATCTAAGGGACATATTTAGTGCTGGTTAATGTCGTCTGTTAGGTTACTGTTACTTTAAACATTCGGCATCGAAACTATTCTAGTTATGGTGCTATTAGTACTTACACTGTACCCGGAACCACTACCTGGTCTAATAAGGTATCACTTTCTAATCCAAAAGTGATACTTTCAAGGAAATACAAAATGTCAATCGACTACCTCTTTAAACTATTACCTAACACTGACTAAAATGTATTTATTATGGTCGAGATTATGGCTTTGACCATTCGTCCATTTTGTCCGGTTGTACATTTATCTATACAATTACTAAACTGTTTTTAAGTTATAAAAACAAACAGCTTTAAAAACACACAAGTAGCCAGAGACTTACGCGACGAACAGTCAAAGACAGCGAAACAGCCGCTGCAGGGAAAGGACGGCGTCATCGATTTGACGAAACAGCTGGTCGGGTCACCGTCGGGGTCAGTACAGCTGATGTAAGAGAGAAGCTCATTGGTTGACGTAGACTCACGGAGAATCACGACTTTAGTGAAATCGGTAATCTCAGGCTGAAGCATGGAGAGAACATTTGAAAGCTTTATCAATGAACTTATTTGGCTGTGTTACACTCAAGGCAGGGGCGGAACTACAGTGCCGCGAGACCCTGCAACGCGGGGGGGGGGGGGGCACGCCATTTAGGGGCCATAGCCAACCATAATAATTGTTTCATAGTTTAAAAAATATTTTTTTTTGCATTTTTTACTTGACGGTATAAGCTTCTGTAAATAACAAACAGATCTACTACAGTAATGATGTTATACAGTAGCTAACACAAGCTGTTGTGTAAAAAAAAATATATGCCTGAGCTGTAGTGTGAAAGATAGGCAAACGTTCAAAACACTTCCATGACTTATATCCCTTTTTTAAATAGTTAAATAGGGGCGCTCTTAAGCTCCTTTTAATATATTTGTACTAAACAAATTAAAAAGCAATAACTTCTCTAAATTATTAGTTTAAAAAAAAATGCATACTAAAGAATGACTTAGCATAAAAAGGAAATATATTTGAAACAAATAATATAAATACAAAAAAACATAAAAATAAACATAACACGAGAAACCATTACACATAAAAAGCTTTCACGTTTTAGATTCTTTTGACCGGCTCTACACTAGCGGGTAGGCAGTATCACAGCAAACATATTGAATAGCCTAACTCTAAATCTTTTCACCTGTTCAACCTGTTCAAAATTATGTTAAAAGATTTTATGTTGATGTACTTGTTTTAATTGCAAATAAAAGTATTAAAAAAAAAAAAAATAAAAAAAAAAAAACAAAAAAAAAAAAAAAAAGGATAAAAAAAAAAAAACTAATTCTAAATCTTAGGGCAGGTTTATTATTCATTGAAATCTATTTTATTTGTCAATTCTGTTTGCGTATTCAAATTAAAATATTCATACTCTAAAAAAAAAAAAAAAAAAAAAAATTCTAAATCTTAACAATCTGAAGAAAAAAAAAATTAAAAAATTCTAAATCTTAAAAAAAATAAATCAATACAGACTAATGCACCCACACACATGTTGTCATTTGTTTATATTGAAAAAAAATATTTCAAAACCCGATCAGGCTAGAAATGAGTATCCTATGTTTGTATTATGTGTTTATATATATATATATATATATATATATATATATATATATATATATATATATATATATATATATATATATATATATATATATATATATATTTATTTATTTATTTATTTATTTATTTATTTATTTATTTATTTATTTATTTATTTATTTATTTATTTATTTATTTATTTATTTATTTATTTATTTATTTATTTATTTATTTATTTTTTTTTTTTTCTAGTTCCGCCACTAACTCAAGGTAATATAGAAGGTAACTCAATTTACATGTAGTAACAGAAACGATATTCGTTAAGTAGAATTATAACAATAATTTTAACGTATAACAAGAACGATAACTAACAATGCAATTAAAAAAAAAAATGTTACATAACAGAGCATTTTAAAGTCAGAATGATAACTCTCAGAGAAAATAAAAATAATGACAACAATTCACAGAGCAATTTAAAATAAGAACGATAACTCACACACGATTTAAACCAAGGAAGATAACTCACCACGCCAGCTACTGCTCTTCCAATACACACGGTGAGCAACACATAGAATACTGTCCACGTCATTATTCTGTTCACTCTAGCTCACTCCAGAAAGTTTTGTTCTGTTCCCACTGATGTGTTTACGATTTAGCTACAGCTACTTCTCATTCTAGTGTACAATGTGTTTAGGATCTTTGTTAACTTGTAGCTACTTAAAACACCAATTAGGAGTTTGGTGTCTTTTATAGCTAGATCAACTTAGACGTCCCTAAACCCACGTTAAATGTGTGGGGAACACATGACTCGACTCGGAAAAAGTTAAGTCGAATGGGCATAGTCGACAAACTCACTTATTATGCCCGTTGTCGTAAACACAGTTACTTATTTGTCTGCCGTATATAGCCTACTCTTATAAACACAATCTAGTATTGAATTAATCTATATCATTTATTTTTAATTTAGATAAAAGCACAGCTTTATGAGCATGTAGTATACTAAGCAAAAGAAAGTTAAAAGTATAAAAATTAACTGAAACGAACAAAATCCAAGTGATTTCGACCGGATTTAGATTCCAAATAGCAGCGCGCTATCTTATGCGTTTTTTTAGGCTACCTGCTTGTTTGCGTTGGTAAAAAATCAGCCAGGAACATTTTATGACTTTACTTACCGCAAACATATGGGTATGACGTTGGCTATATGTCATAAATTTTTAAATAGAGCTGACACAAAGGCGGGGAGATAACCCGAGGCACTCAGCGTTGATTTGTCTGATTTATCTCGCTTTGATAGATACCGATCGTGTAAAAGACAGTTACAAAACTGAACACATACATTTGAATCTACGCCTGCTTTAACGATACAGTAACAAGTAAGTAAAGCTCCACTTGCAGGTTTTATTAAGATCCTTAGGACAGGTGAAGTAGAGTTAATATATTTTTGACATTTGGCGTGTGACTGGAAATTGTGGTCAGCAGTGGCGTGGATAGGTCGAGTGTCACCCGGTGCGGCACTTCGTGGTGACACCCCCTGCCCCGCCCTCACTATGCCTCTGGTGGTCAGCCCTATGCACAGCCACATTTACTTTCAACACAATTAGCCAGGAACCCATTAGAGCTGGGTGGACTCTGTGACGTCATACAATCCGGACCGAGATCTGAACTCGAGATCTACGGACATAGCGTCCGAACGCCATCCCTCAACTACGCATCAGCTGGTCAGTAAGCATAAGGTATCTAAATTAAACAAATATGAACACATCTTTGAACTTGGTTAAACCATCTCGTGCGGACCAGTGCTTCTTTAAGACCTTTTTCTCCGGGGGGGGGGGGGGGAAACTTGATATTGGGGGGGGGGGGGGCGGACACTGGTAAAAGTATATTTTTCTATTTAAATTCCATTTCGTTCGGGGGTGGGGGGGGGGGGGGGGGCGGAGCGAAGAGGTGCCTGGAATAAAAACTGGTGTGGACTGTCTTGTCCAGATACCAAAAAAAAAATCCCGTTGGGTCCCAAGAAAAAAATAAACCCAGTGGGTCCAACCCACGTGAAAACGTCTCAGTGGCTCTCCCATAAACGGTGCAGTAATGGTCCGTTGAGTGTTTTGATTGTTAAAAATCAATGGGTTGTTATTTCTGCAGTTTCTCGTATCACTTTTTTTCTTACCAAAGCGTATAATTCAGGACTTGTTTGAAAAAAAAAATACACCAGAAAAATAAATGTTAATCTGGGGCTGGGGTTTATGTCGCATGTTTTTTTTGTCCAGGAGGTTTTTGTCGGGGGGGGGGAGGGAAGGATTGTCCAGGGGGTTTATGACGGGGGGTTACGTCCAGGAGTTATCTCGCAGGGATTATGTTCATCTCGAGGGGTTTATGGTGGGGGGGGGGGTGTTAAGTTGGGGGTTATGTCGCGGGGTTTATGTCCTGTGAGCTTATGTCCTGGGGGGGGGGGGAGGTTCACCGGGAGCCCCACATTACACCTAGAAACCTGTTTTTTTTTTTAAACACCACAACATATACGTATTTGGCCGTTGACATGTTTAATGTATTATTTCAGCTATCATTGTTAACAGAACATGTTTTGACTATCTATACCCTTACGTCATTATAACATATTCTAAAACAACTTCCGGTTCTAGCCTCCCACATTCTGAGAACCCTTGCTTTATGATATTCCTCAATAGCATTAAGACAAAAACCTGAGATAAGATATTCTGTTGACAAATGTAGATCTACACCGTCATAAAAACGTCACTCTATCCATACGTTTATTTTCTTGTAATTGTGCACTGTATTTGCCCGTTTTTATGAATGTAACAAATATAAACCAACATAAATATGTTTAAGTTAGATATGTATTTTTTGTATGATATGTAAGGATTGTATTATTGACACTTGTATATGTCGCAGTATGATATATAGTTTTTGGTGTATTGATATATTGAAGTCCGTGAAGTACAACTGGTCGAATCAGAAGCTAGAATGTATAGGTGCAAACATATAGATTGAAGGCACCAACACGCACCATAAAGAAACACAATGTGAGACGTGTTTTAAATTGACGCATAGTGTGGCTATCGTGAAGGTCCTTGTACATAACCGGGTTAATTTTTTAGTGTACTGTTGTCGAATAGCGAGTTAGTGGTCAGTGGCGAAAGGGTCAAAGAGTGGCTTGAATATTGTGAAGGTGGGAGTGAGAAGAGAAGACCACCCAGTTGTGAGGGTTAGGGTGAAGAAGATGAAACCCGGCTTAGTATAGTTTTGTGAAATCACCACACACAAGTCCAATTTAAGATATGATATTCTTTATTTACACAAATCAAATTCTACTTCTATCTAACTAGTCTATACTATATACTGTCTATTAATACTATTAACTACGCACTCCCATGACCAATCTACCTCTAACTCCACCTAACTCTACATTTCTCTGGCCGTTCTCTATCGCTACCTATCACCGTCTGCTTTCACTTGCTCCAGTGGTCAGCTGACCGTCCCACGTGACAGATCAGCTCCTGTATTTCCATTGGTCTGTTTAACTAACTAAGCCATAGTCTGTTTCTACCTTCTACTTGACTTCTACCTTTAACTAGCGTCATCACAGTTATCAATAATTGGTTTAGTGAAGGGGTCAAACATTGAGCTAGTGGCCATTGGTTTAGTGATCGAAGAGTGGCCTAGTGATCATTAAATGATTTGTTTGAGTGGTCAGTGGCTTAAGGGCAAAATAGTGCCTTAGTGATCATTAAATGGTTTAGTGGAGTGGTCAAACATTGAGTTAGTAGTCAGTGGCTTAGTTATCATTAGTGTGTTAATGTTCGAAAAAAACGGGTTTGTGGTCAAACATTGGTTTAGTGGTCAGTGGCGTAGGGGTCATTTGCTCAGATGCTAAAGAATTATTTAGTTGCCAAATACTGGCCAAACACAATCGCCTAGTCGTCAAAATGGCCCAGTTCACCATCAGGTGAAGTAAAGTTCCATTTTCGAACCTGGCGGTCCATACTGGAAATGAAGTAGAGTTCACCTGTTTATGTGACCTCAGAGTGTGAAGGGATAGAGTGGTCAGCACTATGTCCAACTGCTGTGCTTGAAAGAGGGTCCAAGTTATTCCCTGTACTGAAGGCTATCAGATGGTTAACGCTAGTACTAGGTACAGAATCGAGTAACTGCATTTAATGGCTACATTTTCTTCCATGTGGACAGTATTGTGTTAAACTCTAACATGTTATGTTGATAAAAGTATACTGACTTAAACTTACAAAAGCCGAATTTTGTGGTTAGAGAAACAAAACAAAACAAAACTATATTGTGACTTTAGACAAGGTAACAATAGTTTGGGGGACGGAGTGGCTTAGAGGTAGAGCGCTTGACTATTCAAACAAAGTTGTAGAATTGGGGGGGGGGGGGTGTCGGCGTGGTCGAGTTGGCAAAAGCTCATGGTTGATAAATTCGAAAAAGTCTCGAGTTCAAACAGATAAGACTCGATCCCTTCCAACACTAAAAATTAAGAACGAAGAAGAAGAAGTAGAGTTGAAATTTGAGTTCAAGTCAGTAGAACGTCCCTGAATACACCCAGCTCTGATAGGTACCTGACCCAATTTAGGGAAAGTAAAGACGATTGGGCATAGTGCTGACCATTCTATCCATTTATATGACAAGGTCATTGAAAAAGATAAACTTAACTTCATCTGCCCTATGGGAATAGAACGAGATAATGTACCATAGTGTGTCTTATTGTGTTTTATTGATGTACATACTATAAGAACAAGGTAAGTAGAATAAAAAATATAATAAACCCATAAATGTTGATAAATGAATAATTTAATTTAATTGCAAGTTTATAGAAAGTTAAGGCGAAATTGTACAAAGTTATTTTTTTCTTTAATTTGATAAATTTTAAAATATTGTAAATAGCAGTCATGTTTGAAATGTTATGTTGTCTATAAAATCTCCTTCAGGCAAGATAACATATCTCTATCCTCCAACTTCGACCCCCACCCCTCCCCACGTACTGGCTATTAAGTTCACTAACGGCCCACCCGGGTGGTACCTGCAGCCTGATGTCGTCACTGGCACCGTACCAGCCGGACTTCCTGCAAGTAGACGTCCTTGACCTCCTGACCTTGCAGCACCGGAAGCTGAACTGGCGATCCCTGGCTAGCCGGTCGAACCGGCTGCTCACTCCGGCTAGAACTGTGTCAGCCGGACACCGGAAGTCGAAAGATTCTTTGAGTTTGGTGACGTAACCTAAATGAGAAATACAACCCGTTTAATCTCAGCGAAATTTTTTTGTATACACATGCACACACACACAGACACACGCACACTATCTTCTGCACCATTTTCCGGTGTGGTCTATATCTAATTATCTTTCCACTAGACTTCTAATTCTACCTCCATGACACATAAATAGACGGTCGATGGTATTGTGAAATACGCGATAGGTCTTGTTAGCCGGGTTAGCAAGCGAGAGTATACTTCTTGTCTATACATTTCGGAATGTACTTACTACTATTGTTTTATATCAAATGTATACAAAAGGCAGTTAACCATTTCTCGAATTTGTTATACATATTTGAATTTGATTAAAACTATTTTCTTGAAACTTAAATCGTAGGCCTATGTTGTAAAAAACAAATCGAGAACTTGATAACGTATCAATTTATTCTAAATAAATACTTTTAAGAATAAGTGTATGCCATAGGCTATTAACTTCATTCTTGATGTGAATTATATTAGAAATCTTTTTGTTTCTATTTAATCTTGCTTTAAACTAAAAACAAATAAACCGGGAGTGATCTCCCCTAAACTTTCTCGAATATTCTTATATAAAACAACAGGGGATGGGAACTCGGGATATAGTTATGATTTTAAATCCATTTTAAATACTTAACCTTTTTAAAATAGAATATCATCTCATAGAAAAAAGAAATGCGCACCAAGCGAACGTCAAATAAAGATGTTCATAATAGTGCGCAATATTATTAGTACTTTATAAATTTACATGCGTTTTTTGAGAAATCGGAAATAGCGTAAATTAGTACTTTCGGTCAACGGAAATTACTCAAAATTTGACAGAAGGTTGATAATTAGATCTTTTACTTACATGTGAAATTTCATTTATCTATCTGAAGTAATACTCAAGTTAAAGGCTTTTGAAAAATTCAAAGTAGAAAAAGTACCACTTCCGGTTATCAGTAATCGCTCAAAAGTTGAACAGTATCTACGATTTTGATAAAATACTTATATATGAAATTTCTTCAACCTAGCTGTAACGGTACTCAAGTTATCGTGTTTACACAGACACAGACACACACACACACACAAATACCCACAGACATACGGAAAATATTGCAAAATTATGTTTTTCCGTATCAGTGAGGTGTAAAACGTCGAGATTTGCAAAAGTCTCGATTTTTTTTTTTTTTTTGCGCGATTACAAGACTTTCTCTTTACTTCGTATATACGAGAAAGTAAAAATTGAGAACTAGATAACGTATCAATTAAACTAAATAAGAGCCTTAGCCTTACCGCTGTTTTCACATTGGAAGGTCAACAGCCCCTTACGGCAAACAAATCTCATGGCACGGTCATATCTGATCCCACTTCGTTCGCTCACGATCCCATTGATGATCCCATCCTTGGGACACCTGTGATGGTAGTCCCTGCGTGCAGACAACGTCTTGAGAGGCAGCACCACAGCAAGACACGCAGACACTACAACTCCAGCTAACATCTTTCTGTGCTTGTTTACCTTAGCTTAGCCAGTGTTGATACTTAAAACTGAGGGGAAACTTGTGATGTAGCTTTGTTTATAATTAGTCATTGATTGGGTGATGTATTAGATGTACACGGTTTTGGATGCTGAGGCCTTTAGGAAGCTAATTACAACGTTTATGGTTTCATGTGTATTAAGTCGTACACCCACCCTACCACCCCCCTTTCCGCCCCCCCCCCCCCTTTCCGCGTGGACGTCATAAATGGATGACCCCTTACCTGATGGTGCGTGGGAGTGCGTATTTCAATTTGAACAACAAGTACCATCTATTTCTACATAGTTGTATCCCTTGGTTTTGTGTTGTGTTTTGGGAGGGCAGAAGTTCACATACAATTTGATAGTTTATGAGTGGCAGAGCTTGTGTTGGTGTGTAGCAGTTGATGTGTAGCAGTTGGTGTGTAGCAGTTGGTATGTAGCTGTTGGTGTGTAGCAGTTGGCGTGTAGCAGTTAGTGTGTAGCACCTGAACTGGGAATGCATGAACTGAGAATACAGTCTGTAGCGTAATGTAAGGGACCTAAAGTGCTGAGCATAACGAGTGTCGTAACACTGTCAAAGATAAAAATTATCGTGACGTGTGACAACTCCACTCCTGGCCAAGCGGAGACTGGACACATGAGTGAACGGATATATCCCTTTACATGGTTACACCCGTTACGTTCCCTTCCACACACTCCTGTTGAAGACTTCTCTAATTGCACACACATTCTAGAAAGTACCAGACTTAAGAGGGTTTCTTCTGGCTACCCGATCATTTGAAACCTTGACTTCAATATCGTGTCAATTCTACTTCATCTACAATACGACTTTTATTCTTCGGAAGATCTTTGTCATTTTAAATGTCGATATAACCCCTGCGACAAAACTGAAGGAAAATAAAACCAGACGGAATTAAAAGACAACACTATGGACCAAAACAAATACAATTATTTTTTTTTCAATTAAAATTTGTAATTTTTTCTGAAATGCTTCTTGAGAGAAATGAAGTACACGACAGCTTAATTCAGTTTATGTTACCCGTACACACATAGATATTAGGAAAAAATACAACAATCAGATATACACATAAATAAACCGGGAGTGATCTCCCCTAAACTTTCTCGAATATTCTTATATAAAATAACAGGGGATGGGAACTCGGGCTATAGACATGATTTTTAATCCATTTTAAATACTTAAAGTTTTAAAAATAGAATAAAATCTCGTAGACAAATTAATTGCACACCAAGTGAACGCGAATAAAAAAGCGCATAATAGTGCGCAATATTATTAGTACTTTTAAAATTTACATTCGTTTTTTGAGAAATCGGAAGTAGCGTAAATAAGTACTTCCGGTCAACGAAAAATTCTCAAAATTTGACAGAAGGTAGAGAATTAGATCTTTTACTTACATATCAAATTTTATTTATCTATCTGAAATAGTACTCAAGTTATAGGCTTTTGAAAAATTCAAAGTAGAAAAAGTACCACTTCCGGTTATCCGAAATCGCTCAAAAGTTGATACGGATCTACGATTTTGATAAAATACTTATATATGAAATTTCATCAACCTAGCTGTAACGGTACTCAAGTTATCGTGTTTACACACGGACACACACACACACAGACACACAGACATACGGACAGAATTGCAAAGCCCAGTTTTTCAGACTGGAATACGCATAAAACCTTTTAATTTTGATAAATCTGGATTGATAATTTTTGCCCGATTAAAATAAGTCCTCTATACTTCGGATGTGATGAAGGACTGAGGTGTAATACGGTAAAAATAGTTAAAATTTCAAGTGATTTTTGTGCACGATTACAATACTTTCTCTATACTTCGTATATACGAGAAAGTAAAAAGACTCATTACAATAGTTTCTTTTTAATGACCCGCTAAATTTAAAATACTAGCAATTCCGTAGGGTAAAAATAAATTATATTCAAATTTTGAACAAACCACATCGAACTAACTAAAGAAAATGTATTTATTTTTGTAGGATTCCTATATTTCTGAGATTAGTCTCCAGTAGTTCACAATACTACAGTGACTTGCCCACAAGAACTTCTCAGTTGTTATCGTGAGGGCTTTAGTGTCTCGCAGATCTCAAACCGCCACTTGCGGCCCTCGGCCCGCCTCTTGTAGAAACTGTGAACCTCCGTGACGGCCCAACCGCGGGGGACGCGGAGACGGACGTCCTCGCTCAGGTCGTACATCTCTGACCTCCGGCAGTTGGTCGGCCTTGACCTCCTGACCTTGCAGCACTGGAAGCTGAACCTGTGGTCGTTGGCGTGGGGGTTGTACAGGCTTTTAATGCCGGTCAGGACTTTGTCAGAAGGACATTTGTAGTGGAAGGAGTCGGTCAGCTTGTTGACGTAACCTGGGATAGAACATTGAATTGTTATCTTAAATTGGGGTACAAAACGCCAATTGACAATGAGATATGCGTTTGCTGTTGTATGGTGGTAGTTGTGTGTGTGTGTGTGTCTGTGTGACAAAGACAGAGAGATAGAGAGAGAGAGAAAGAGAGAGAGAGAGAGAGAAAAATAGTAAAGGCTAAAAGAGGGGGGGGGGTTGATTAAATGAAACAGAAAAAAGAAATATACTTTATATGAAGCACTGAGTCTTTTAAAACGCCTAAAGCTTTTACTAAAGAAATAGCAGTTCTTTTATTTTCTTGTTTTCATAGCATATACATTCCCTTTCATATAACACTTGTCAGCTAGGGATACAAACTTTATCCTGGATATACATATCTGCAGTTAAACAATCACTGCCTTGCAAATCATTTTGAGTAGACACAGGCTATGTAAGCAAATCTAGAAAGAAAAGCAAGCTAGAAAGTAAGCCGGCTTTAAGACGTAAAATGTGTTGACACAAATTGCTCAATTGTAATGGAGTGAATTAGCTTAAATATTACAACTAAGAACGGATAAGAAACATGATGATTTATGTTCAGCAGATGCAATGTAGCCCAGGAGAACTGAGTAAAGTGAGTAAAGTTTCCTTAAACACCTTATGTTCTACGGGGCAAGTGAAGTAGAGTTCACCTGTTTCTGCGACCTCAGTAAGCGAAGGGATAATTTGGTGAGCACTATGCCAAGCCGCTTTTATCTCCCTTAACGTGAGTTAGGTACAAGTCAGAGCTGGAAGGACGCAAGCACGTTCTACAGATTTGAACATGGATTCGATCTCGAGACTTTTGTGTTAGCATTCTAGCGCGCTACCGCTAGGCCACGTCGTCCCACAGAACAACTAAGTTTAAAATGTTATCTTCATCACTCACCGCTGTTTTCACACCTGTAGACATCCATCGCTTCTGAACAGGTAAATCTCAGGGGTCGGTCAGATCCGATCTCACCACGATCCAAGTAGATCTCTTTGATGACCCCGTCCCCGGGGCACTCATGCTCCCATGTCTTGAGACGGTCCCCGACCTCTCGTCTCTCGCGGAACGGCGCCGTCTTTGGTCTTTGAGCTGCGACAAGACTCAGCCAAAACAGAACCCCAGCAACGTACAGCATGGTGTAGAACTACTGTTATTGTCTACTGTAATTGGTGTAGAACTACTGTTATTGTCTACTGTAATTGGTTACAATGATATTCAACACTGTTTTACCCTACGCCGTATCTGTGCACTATTAAACCGAACAAGCGGTCGTTAAATAGTTTAAAAAATTGCGCAGTAAGCAGGTGTTAATTAAAATAGATTTTTCTCGAACAGTTGTTTACCTTATGTTAATGGTAGGGGTGAGGGGGACTGCATGATTGGGGGGGGGGGTTGTTGGGCTAAAGACTGTAGTTTGGTGTTTGCGAATTAGGGAAATTTGGCTGCTAGGCTAAGGGTCTCGAGTTCGGATCTCGGTTCGGACTTGTGACTGTAGGATGTCTCCAATTATTCACAGCTTTGATAGGTACCTGACTTACGTTAAGGAAACATGGTCGGCCCTGTATACGGCTGACCAATATATACGCTTATATGTCGAAGTCATAGAAACAGATGAACTCTACTTCATCTGCCCCATGTGTCTTGGGCCCGAACAGGGAAAAGAGGATTGTGATATGGTGTGAACAGAGTTCAAATGGTGTGGCCATATATGCTTTGGACTAACAAGCTATACACACCATTAGATTAGTTACCATTATCATATCTGATGGTAAAATTAGATCAGTTACCATCATCATACGTGATGGTGAAATGTACCAAGACCCAACAACATTTTTCAATCATACTTCTACAGTATATATACAAAAACCGCTCCTGAGATTGAATGAATCTGCTGTGTTAGAACAAATCTAACTTAACTCTAACCTAAAACTTAACCAAATATTGTGAAAAACACATACCTACTTATCTATACGCTTACGTTTCGTTAACGAATTCTAAATTACACAGCGTGTTTGACCTTTGACATATATGTGTACTAAATATGCTGGAATATGTGAAACATAAGTAAAATAATATGCCTACTGTTTATCGACTCTTTCTAAATGTATCTCCCTCATATAATTAGTGTATGGTTTTTATGAAGGTTTTGCTTTGACAATGTACACACTATATTTAGACTATTTAAAAAAAAAACTTACGATTTTTAAAAAAATGATTTTTCACTCATTTAACTAAATATCTTAAACCTTGTCAATTAGTTTAACTCTTCTTCAGTTAATTTGATCCAATTAAAGCCTTGGTATTTTGCCTTCGTCATACACATAGGTTTAGAGACCATCATATTTTCCCGTTTGTACCCAAGACAAATGAGGCAGAAGAAGTAGAGTTCATTCTGTTAAAATCAGTGACCCCGGCATATGAAGGGATAATGTGGTCAGCATTATGCCCAGCTGCCTTAACTTTGGCTAACGTGGGTTAGGTACTTATATGTGCTGAGTGTACTCAGGGTCGTTTTATTGACTTGAACCTGGATTCGAACTCGCAACGTTCGGGTTATAAGTCTAGCTCTCTACCGCTAGGCCAAGCCGTCTAATAGGTTTACAGATGGTAACGTATTTTAATGGTAGTACAGTTGACTGATTCTGTGTGTCTTTTAGTGTGTCTGTTTATAGTGTTTGACTTTATGTTAGGGTGTCTAAAAATAAATTGCTTAAACAACACATTTAGTTTTTTCTCAATTTACAAAACGTAGACAAATAATAAATAAATATGAGATATACACATAAAAAGACTAATTTCTAATATTTCATTTTAATACTCATCTACATTTAAAATACCAGTAATTCCAGATATTTAAATTTTGAACAAAACACATCGACCTATACAAGCAAATGTATTTATTTTCGAAACATTTTTATATTTCAGCGATAAGTCTCCAGTATTTCAAACGACCATTGTGAGTGTCCCAGAAGAACTTCTCAGTTGTCGTCGTGATGACGGTGGTGTCTATCCAGCTCGCAGATCTCAAACCGCCACTTGCGGCCCTCGGCCCGCCTCTTGTAGAAACTGTGAACCTCCGTGACGGCCCAACCGCGGGGGACGCGGAGACGGACGTCCTCGCTCAGGTCGTACATCTCTGACCTCCGGCAGTTGGTTGGCCTTGACCTCCTGACCTTGCAGCACTGGAAGCTGAACCTGTGGTCGTTGGCGTGGGGGTTGTACAGGCTTTTAATGCCGGTCAGGACTTTGTCAGAAGGACATTTGTAGTGGAAGGAATCTTCGAATTTGTTGACATAACCTGGGATAAAAAAAGTAAAACGATCAGCTTCTCGTTATAGGAAAATTAAAAACATATTTTACACCCAAGTTTAAATTTTGCTCGAGAAAGGTCTAGTTGGATGTCATCCGTATGAAGCCTTGTAGACTCCAATTTAACAATAGCTTATGTGATTATTATGGTTCCCAGAAAAAGGCGCAATTGGAAAACTGCGCAATGGAAAACTGCGCAAATAGATAAATAAACAAATACAATCTAATTATTTTAATAAACTTCAAATTTGTCTTATTTTGAGGGAATATGCTCTATTATGAAACAATATACATGTGGTCATTTTTCTAATGTCTATAAATGCCCGAATGAAGAAAACAAATAATGTCCCCTCGCATTTTTTATGTGCGCAGTTTTCCGTGGATCAGTTTTCCGTTGCGGGTCTTTCCGGTCACCGAATATTCTATCAGCCAGTTAATGTTTATATTAAGGATCTGAAAATAAGTCAGCATTATGCATCGGAGCATTCCTTAGACTTCAAGAAGAGAAATTATGTCGGCCCAAAAAAGATTTAATCAGCTGTTTCTTTGAAAAAAAAAAACAGAATCATAACAGTTTTTGACCAACTACAAACAGCACTGTCAAACCATACACTAAGTTTTACGACTAAACGTTTATTTAAGATTGTTTTTTAACACGTTTTTCTTAACTCAGCTTCGCGTTTGTTTGTTTGTTTGGATGTTTGTTGTTAAAATTGACATCGAAAATTAGCCCACTTCTGATTGCTCTATAGACCTGAAATTTGGCATGCATGCTACTTTCGCCTAACAATTTCAGATGCAATCATAAAAACTAGCAATTAGTGACCGTAATTAGCTTAATTTAATTACGCCCCAAGGACCATAAAATTGAGGACATGATTTCTAAAGATACCGACAAGACTGGAGGCCTATTGACCCAGTTACTTCGGCCCCACTCGATGTGAGCGCGCTGGCCGTGATCGTATAGTGGTTAGTACTTCGCGTTGTGGCCGCGACAACCCAGGTTCGAATCCTGGTCGCTCAAGTTTTTAGTCCGTGTATTTATAAACACTTTTTTAAAAACCACGTTTTTCATGTGTAGCAACGGACTAAAAAGTAGAAAATAAAATTTTCTTTTGTGCTTCCTCGAGCTGTGCAGGTTCTTGTGATGACTGACAAAAAACGTGGGTCGGGCAGATGGGTCGGGAAATTTGATGGTGAACGTACCCACGTTTTTTGTCAGTCATCTCAAGAACCTGCACAGCTCGAGGAAGCACAAAAGAAAATTTTATTTTCTACTTTTTAGTCCACAAGAAAAACGTGGTTTTTTTAAAAGTTTTTTTTAAGTATTTTATTGTGAGTTGTGTTTCATTGGGGCTTTAAAGCTAAGTGCTCATGCGCCCAAACAAACAATGCCAGTTTCCGTCAATCGAAGTAAACAATATCCATTGATTGCGAATTCTATAAATTGCCATACTGAGCGACCAAGTGGTTGGGTGGTATAACTCATGGCCGCTAACCCGAACATCTTATGTTCGAATCCCGAGCTCTAGTCTATTTGACGTCCTGGAGTCCACCCAGCTCTTTTGTGTACCTGGCTTTCTTTAGTCAAACAAAGGCGGCTGGTAATAGTGCTGACTACACGGTCTCTCATACGCCGAGGTCAATGAAACCAGATTAACTCTACTTCATCTGCCTCACTTGTTTCGAGCATGAGTGGGAAAAGATGATAATGATGAAAGAGGAGTATTTTATTTTGATATCAGGTGCTCACAAACTACGTTTCGTGTCTAGGACATTTTCCATACCAGGAAACTGAAGGATGACTTTCATCCAGGGGATTGTACAATAGTTTATAGTTAATACAACAAAACATTGAGTGTTCTATACTAACGTGTCTGTATATACTATGTCAGGAACCTATTGAGTACGATTCAAAAGATAGATGGTTTCATGGTGGTATAGGGTCGCAATTTACGCTTTTAATATAGGTGAATGTTACCTAATTAACAAGAACAAACTACAAGGCAGCAGTTGTTTGATTTTAGAGTTATCTCTGCTAGAAGAGTTGCTGTCGCCAGCTATACAGTTTCATATGCCCTGTGGTTCGAACTCGGGACTTTCAGTTTAGAAATAATGAGCTTTACCGACTCGACCACGACTCTTATTTAGCATAAAAAATCCACTATATCACATAAAAAAGTACTGCTTTATATCTACCACTGTTTTCACATAAAAAAGTAGTGCTATATATCTACTACTGTTTTCACATAAAAAAGTAGTGCTATGTACCTACCACTTTTCAAATAATCTAAACGTAATGCTATATACTTACCACTGTGTTTGCATGAATAAAAACCTACTCCTCTATACCTACCGCCGTTTTTACATGAATAAAAACCTACTCCTATATACCTACCACCGTTTTTACATGAATAAAAACCTACTCCGAGATACCTACCACTTTTGTCACATTTCCACGTATTTTTGGCATTAGAGCAGGTAATCTTGAGAGGTCTCCTGGAATTACTCCTGTCCCTGTCACTATAAATCCCCGTGACGATCTCGTCGTTCGGGCACTCGCGCTCCCTCTCTAGCCTGTCGCTGTCGTCATGGCGACCGTCCCTGTCAGCCAGACCCCCAGCCAAACACAGAACAAGCACTACCGCAGCCAGCATCTTTAGGGTGTTGTTGTAGTGTATGTGGACACGATGTTGTCTGGTCTATGTGGACAAGTTACGTTGCTGTTATAAGATGGTGGATTGTCGATAATCCCGTCGTAAGCAAATTTTTAATTAGAATAGATTTTCTTCGTTCAACGGGTGATTTATACGACACACGACAGAGGGAGAGAGAGGGAGGGAGAGAAGGGGAGAGAGAGGGAGGGAGAGATAGTCAGAGTGTGAGAGTGTTTACTTGAGTATGTTAATGTTTTATTGGAGAGTGTATCAGAATGTGAGAGTGTTTACTTGAGTATGTTAATGTTTTATTGGAGAGTGTATCAGAGTGTGGGAGTGTTTACTTGAGTATGTTAATGTTTTATTGGAGAGTGTATCAGAATGTGAGAGTGTTTACTTGAGTATGTTAATGTTTTATTGGAGAGTGTATCACGGGAGAATAATTTTTTAAATACTAAAAGTTCCACAATCGTGTAATGTATACAATGTACTATTTATTATATTAAGAGAAGTAGTCGCCCCTCTTTAAATTAAAGTTTGTTTTAGAATTGCAATTCATAACACAATTATACGAAGGGTTAACTTTTTTTTTACCGATGTTCGTATACAAATATAATACCAGAAAGCATTTAAACACGCGTTTCCTTTGTTGCACCCCACCCCCCTCCGCCAAAAAAAAATTATATCTCCAATAATCAATTGATTTCTTGATAAGACAAACATAAAAACCACACAACTATCATAATGACAATTGCAATACCTCCCACTTCTCGCAATGACAAATACAAAACCATCCACCTCCTATATTGGCAAATTCAACACCACCCACCTTTTATATTGACAAATACACCACCATTTACCTCCTCTATTGGCAAATTCAACAACATCCACTTTTTATATTGAAAAATACAACACCACCCACCTCTTATATTGACAAATACACCATCCACCTCTTATATTGACAAATACAACACCACCCACCTCTTATATTGAAAAATACAACACCACCCACCTCTTATATTGACAAATACACCATCCACCTCTTATTTTGACAAATACAACACCACCCACCTCTTATATTGACAGATACAACACCACCCACCTCTTATATTGACAAATACAACACCACCCACCTCTCATTATGACAAACATATCCCATCTCTTATGATAACAAACGTTAACCCCCCCCCCCCCTAGCCCCCACCCCCAGGTCTTACAAAAACACACATACGTTTCTTTGAAGTCGATACTAGATAACTCCCCAGCTAAATCCGGAGAGCCATTCAATCGATCTGACACAACCAAACTCCCATAATGACAAAAATAACACCGATGATCAAATGCTACCCCCACCCCCAACCCCCGAGTTACAAAAAACACACCAACGTATCTAGGAGGTAGATACTAGATAACTCCGTAGCTAAATCCGGAGAGCCATTCAATCGATCTGACACAACCAAACTCCCATAATGACAAAAATAACACCGATGATCAAATGCTACCCCCACCCCCAACCCCCGAGTTACAAAAAACACACCAACGTATCTAGGAGGTAGATACTAGATAACTCCCCAGCTAAAACCGGAGAGCCATTCAATCGATCTGACACAACCAACCCCTGTCAGCATGTGTGGGGGTCGAAGCCCAACCCTCTCCCATGATGCACCCCAATCACCTACAACAACGTAGGCCAAACACACACACACACACACGCACGCACATACACACACATACACATACACACAATCACCTACAACAACCGAGGCCAAACACACACACATACGCACGCACACACATACACACACATACAATACACATACACACAATCACCTACAACAACCTAGGCCAATCCTAACGTTTCCTTTAAAGTTAAGCGTTCTTTTGAAACAACAACACTCAGTTTCAGAAACAAAGTGTTAATTTGCAACCTATGCATGAAGCCAACAAACGTGTGGAGGTTGTACAGAGATAATTTTCTGTTGTTAAACCATTCGCTTCGCACACACAAACACAAACACACACATGCACGCACACATAAAAGTACACAGACACACACACGCACGGACGCTCATACACATACACACACATACACATACACACACGCACACACTCACACACACACTCACACACACGCGTACACGAACACGTGCGCACGCACGCGCACGCACATACACATGTATATATAGGCCTACACACACACGCGCACACACAGACTCATATACACACGCACGCACACACACACACACACACACACACATACACACACTCTAGGTTACATTGTCTCCTGACATCAACGAAACATGATATTAAACTGCGTTCATGCACCCTAACCTCAACGACGTGTGTTGGTGTGTAACCTACCTACGTGTGTCGTTACAAAGTCCCCCCCCCCACCACCAAACAATCATACTCTGTAACAATACACATTTAAACACTTAATTAAATATTGTGTTTTAGCCTGCAGCTGTATTTAGTATTATTGGTACTCGGTTCATACTCTCTAGCGATTTGAATCAGAGGCGCCGCGAGGCGTGGGGCGGGGGTGCCGACGCAGCGGATGACGCCATTTAGGGGGTGACACCATGGCGAAAACGTGCAAAATATATAAAAGAAATATGCTATATATATGGTATACATATTGTCAGTTCAATTAGGGTTAATTAAAGTTAATCCATCTGGATTAATAACGGAATATAGATAAACATCTTTACTACTAACTGTGCACCCTTTAAAATTTAAAACTATCACCCGGTGTGTATTTTGTTTTCGGGGAGGGGGGGGGTGACACCATGAGTTGCCGCACCAGGTGACACCCGACCTAGCGACGCCACTGATTTGAATACAAACACTGATAGTATCTCTCTCTCTCTCTCTCTCTCTCTCTCTCTCTCTCTCAGTCTCTGTATCTCTCTCTTGCTATCCTACTACTCTTTAAACATTGACGACGCTTTATGTTAATTTATTTGTATTTAATTTTTATTACTTATTAGCAGTTTAGCAATTCCGAAAAATAGTGTAATGGACAGAATTTGTATTTTTTTTTAATTATTTTAGCATTTCTAACAAATTATGTAATGGGCAGTATATCCGCATCGCACATGCATCTAATTTATACCGCTTGACCATCATCACTCTAATCCGTGAACTCCCTTTTTACGATCATGTGTCTCAAAAACAAGATGACCATCCACCCGAAATGTATCTTCAAGATGGTGCATTGCCGATAACGTCAATACAAAATGGGACGGTGTGGTTAACCAATGGCGCACACCGTTGCTTACTAGAAATTCTCGGGTTCGGATCCAGGATTTAGCCAGTAGGTCGTCCCCTGAGCCTTCTCAGCTCTGATGGGTACCTGACTCACGTTTGGCAGAGTCATGGTGTTAAAGTAAAGTATCTCAAGTAAGGACGTGAGAATGCCAACACAAATAGTGACTGCGGCATTATTTTTAGATATTAAATTAATTTGAATGTAATTTTGACTTGTGTACTTTTCTACACATAAGCCAAATCAACCTGTTTTTTTTTTATCGATGCACTCATGCTTAATTAAAATGGCAGTTTCTTTCTGGCATTTCTTTGGGATGCGTTCCCTCCTCCCAAGCTCGTCTTATCCCCCCCCCCCCCCCCAACGAAACAGAAATTTTATTATACACAATTTATATAGGCCTACTTCAACCACAGTCTACAACCCCCACTCCCCGGGAAAGTTTCGAGATCCCCCCCACCCTTACTGAGTTAAATGACAAAAAGTGAACACTCAAATCCTGTACAACTATTGAGGTCTACATTTTTTTCTGCGTTAAAAAATAAACCGGGAGTGATCTCCCCTAAACTTTCTCGAATATTCTTATATAAAATAACAGGGGATGGGAACTCGGGCTATAGACATGATTTTTAATCCATTTTAAATACTTAAAGTTTTAAAAATAGAATAAAATCTCGTAGACAAATTAATTGAACACCAAGTGAACGCCAAATAAAAAAGCGCATAATAGTGCGCAATATTATTATTACTTTTAAAATTTACATTAGTTTTATAAGAAATCGGAAGTAGCGTAAAGTACTACTTCCAGTCAACGAAAATGACTCAAAATTTTATAGAAGGTAGAGAATTAGATCTTTTACTTACGTATGAAATTTCATTTATCTATCTGAAATAGTACTCAAGTTATAGGCTTTTGAAAAATTCAAAGTAGGAAAAGTACCACTTCCGGTTATCGGAAATCGCTCAAAAGTTGATACGGATCTACGATTTTGATTAAATACTTATATATGAAATTTCATCAACCTAGCTGTAACGGTACTCAAGTTATCGTGTTTACACACGGACAGACAGACAGACACACAGACAGACACACAGACATAAAGAAAAGATTGCAAAATTATGTTTTTCCGTATCAGTGAGGTGTGAAACGTCGAGATTTGTAAAAATCTCGATTTTTTTTTTTTTTTTTGCACGATTACAAGACTTTCTCTATACTTCGTATATACGAGAAAGTAAAAAGTGTATATTTATTAAGGGAAGCTACTCCGTTAAACTTTTTTGTTCTCTCTAGTCCAATAGGTATGTGGTTACGTCCCATTAATAACACAACCGACTTTATATTTCCAAAACCATTGCATGAATTCTGGAGGTGTGTGTGTAGGGGGGGGGGGGGGGGGGGCGTGATCATACTGCATCCGTGTGGTATTCATCATATGTTGCAGTGTGCATTATGGCGGGGTGGTCAAGAGGTCAAGCGAGATGTCCAAGCCAGTGGCGTAGCGAGGTCGGGTGTCACCCGGTGCGGCACTTAATGATGTCACCCCCCAGAGGCGTAGCGACCTTTCTGGGGTCAAACTTTCGATTTTCACCCCCCCCCAAGTTTTCGATTTGCACCCCCCTCAAGTTTTCGATTTGCACCCCCACCTCAGACTTTCGATTTCCACCCCCCCCCCCCCCTCAAGTTTTTCTCTATATATTTTGCTATGTTTTGCCTTGGTGTCATCCCCCCTAAATGGTGTCACCCGGTGCGGTTCGCACCCCCAGCCCCCCCCCCCCCCCTCTCTACGAATCTGGTCCAACCCAAATCTTGTGAGATCGATTCACGTCGAGATTTGTTAAAATGTTAAAAAACAACAATGATATTAAGCAAAACAAATTAATAATTAAATCTTTAATCTTTATTTTTGCTTTAACAGTCAATTTTGTAAGTTTTTATTCGAGATTATTAAGTTTTTTTCTCTCTCAATCCTACTAAGAAAATTGCACACCAATGCGCACCGCACTGTTTAGGAATCATCCCTCATACATTTGCTGTCCAAATCACAAGCCTCGAAGCGCCACCTCCTGTCCTCCTCCTTGTTCTTGTGGAAGCTGTAGACGCCCCTGATACCCCACCCGTCTGGTACCATGTACCTCAGTTTCTCGCCGAAGTTGTTCTGCCAGTCGGAAAGTTTGCAGTCGCTGGGGTTTGATCTCCTGACCTTGCAGCATTGGAAGCTGTAGCGCCTGTCTTTACTTCTGGAATCGTAGTCGCTCTTAATGCCGGTCAAGACTTTGCCAGATGGACATTTGTACAGGAGGGGTTCATCGAAGTCGTTGGCGTACTCTGTGGAACAAGAATATAGATGTACTGAATAGGTCACTGAATTAATACTAATACCGTGTCGTCATAGTAATGACATCCTGTCAACATCATACTGACATCACGTCGTTATCATAATGACATAACACTGTCATCATATTGACATAACACTGTCATTATACTGACATAACACTCATTATACTGATAACTTAATCGCTTTACAACTATTAATACAATCAAACCGCCTCATCAACTGAAGATGGTACAACAATGACTTAGTGCCACCAATAAATAAAAGTACTTCATAATAACCAATTCATCAACCAATGATGCAACTACAATCATCCAACAGTTATGGTATAACACTCTAACCACCTATTCATCAAAGGTCGTACTACAATCAATATACGTTTTCATACAATGATATTACTACATTTAATCCATTTCATCAATAAATGATGCTACTACACAGAGGCGAAGCGAGGGGGGGGGGGGGTGCGCAGCGGGAGTCACCATTTAGGGGGGTGACAAGAAAGGCAAAAAATAAAAAAAATTGCAAAATATATAGAGAAAAACTTGACGGGGGGGGGTGCGAATCGAAAGTTTGAGGGGGTGGTGCAAATCGAAAATTTGAAAGTTTGCCCCCGGGGAAGGGTAGCTATGCCTCTGGGGGGTCACACCATTAAGTGCCGCACCGGGGGACACCCGACCTCGCTACGCCACTGCTACTACACTCTATCCGATTCATCAACCGATGTTGGTACTACAATCACTCCGCGGTATCGTACAAGGATAATACTACAAACATTCTGCGTTATCATGGTAATGATGGTAGTACAATCAATACATTTCATCAATAAATGAAAGTACTACATTCTATCCGATTCATACACCAATGATGGTACTACAATCATTCGGTCGCACCAAACAATATACAACCACACTCAGTGACCAGACAATAATATAAGCCGATGACGTCATCACACAACCCCCGTGACGTAATCACCCCCTCTCTTACCGCTCATCTCACAGTTCCTGGTGCCACTAGACACGCTCTTGCACAAGATCCTCCAGCGTCGGTCATTCTTCTCACTGCTGTGGACACTGACCAGTCGGTTGATGATCTGGTCGGACGGGCACCTGAAGTTGAAATCCTCTCTCCATTCGTGGACAAAACCTCGATCCGGATCCGAGTCATCCCGCTCGGCTAGGGCACCCACCAGGCACAAGGCAAACACAACAGCGTACATCGTCAAAGTCTGACCACTCGACTAACCACGTCAAGCAAACCGGCCGGGTTTCATCAGCTTAAATTGAACTTTTTAATTAAATATTGATTGGTGTTTTGCCCAACGCAGCTGAAAACTTAACGAGACGCAATTAGTTTTAAGTTGTGACTAATTAGGTGCTGTAAGCTTGCTATTTGTTTCATAATACAATTAAATTGTTTATAAAATTAACCGGAAAACAAACCACATAACAGGTTTAAAGAACTAAACATTCTCACCAATGGTCTTTAGTGTAAGTAATCCCTTTACGATCAGCCTTCTTTCCACCGTTTATTATTGCTACTATAGTACTTAGTTAAATTTAAATTTAAAAAAAAAAAACCTTATCAATTTGCAAAAAAAGCTCTTACAAAGTTCTAATGTTAGTATATTTACAGTATCTGAATACCCTCCTGTGCAAATCTTTAATGTTAGCATATTTACAGTATCTGAACACTCCCCGTTACAAAATTCAACCTTTAGTATGTTTACAGTATCTGAATACCCTCCTGTACAAATCTTTAATGTTAGTATCTTTAAAGATTCTGAACATCCCTTTACAAAGTTCTAATGTTAGTATCTTTACAGTATCTGAGCACCCCTTTACAAAGTTCTAATGTTAGTATATTTACAGTATCTGAATACTCCCTGTACAAATCTTTAATGTTAGTATCTTTAAAGATTCTGAACATCCCTTTACAAAGTTCTAATGTTAGTATTTTTACAGTATCTGAGCACCCCTTTACAAAGTTCTAATGTTAGTATATTTACAGTATCTGAATACTCCCTGTACAAATCTTTAATGTTAGTATCTTTAAAGATTCTGAACATCCCTTTACAAAGTTCTAATGTTAGTATTTTTACAGTATCTGAGCACCCCTTTACAAAGTTCTAATGTTAGTATATTTACAGTATCTGAATACTCCCTGTACAAATCTTTAATGTTAGTATCTTTACAGTATCTGAGCACCCCTTTACAAAGTTCTGTTAGCATCTTTACAGTATCTGAACATTCATCAGTTACAACATTAACACTTTAGTATGTTTACAGTATCTGAAAACTCCCAATTTACAAAGTTCTAATGTTAGTATCATTACAGCATCTGAACACTCCCCCTTTACAAAATTCAAACTTTAGTATGTTTACAGTGTCTGATAACTTCCAATTTCATCATCATCAGCTTTTCTAGTTCATGCCCTAGACACATATGGCAGATGAAGTAGGGTTCGTCTGTGTCAGGTACTTTTCGACATATGAAAAAAAAAATGTGTGTTGATGGGAAAGTGTGGTCAGCATTATGCCCAACTACTTTTGTTTCAGATTCGAACTCAAGACTTTCGGGCTTGTAGTCTAGCTCTCCACCGCTAGACCACGTACAAAGTACAAAACTTTAGTATCTCTACAATCGCTGAACAGTCTCCTTTTACAAGGTTTGTTGTTTAGTAGCTTTACAGTTTCTTTACAACCTCCCGCCCTATTACAACATTTAAACGTTAGTATATTTACAGTACCTAAACACTCCCCCTCTACGAAGTTCAAACGTCAGCATCATAACAATATCTGAATACTCCCAAAATACACAGTTCAGACTTTAGTATCTATACTGTCTGTGTATACTCCTCCCCTTTTATAAATTTTAATTTTAGTATATTTACAGTATCTGAACACTACTCGCTTACAAAGTTCAAACTTTGGTATCTTTACCGTAAATGAAATCTCTCCTTTTGAAAGGTTCAAACTTTAGTATCTTTACAGTTTCTGTAGGCCTATACTCCCCTTTAAGAAATTTTAATTTTTAGTATATATTTACAGTCTCAGAACTCTCCTCGCTTACAAAGTTCAAACGTTAGTATCTTTACAGTTTCTGTATACTCCCCTTTAGGAGATTTTATTTTTAGTATATTTACTGTATCTGAACACTCCTCCTTTACACTGTTCAAAATTAGAATCTTAAATTTAAGTCTTTGAACACTTCTATTTTACAAGGTTCAAACGTAAGCATGTTTACAATGATTTACACAGTTTAGCATCTTTACAGTATCTGAACATTCCCCCTTTAAACTGTTCAATCTTTAGCGTCTTTACAATCCGTGTGTACAGTTCAAACTTTAGCATATTTACAATCCTTGTACACAGTTCAAAACTTAGCATCTTTACAATCCTTGTACACATTTCAAACTTTAGAATCATTACAATCCCCTTACACTCCTCTGGGTCGTGTCAAAGGTTACCCTGACATAACATACAGCGCGAGCTATGTTCAGTTGACGGGTTAATTAAGTACTCACCTCGTAAATCGCGTACCTGTAGCTAGATCGAGGCAACGTTGTTACCAAATACACCTTTCATTACATCAATACATCAATACATGAGCACTGTAAGTAACGGATTCGTAAACATGTTCATGTATAAAATAATGTTTACATTATATATGTGTGATACCAGTGATTGATAATGCCACAGTAACAAAATCTTTTTAAAAGTGGTGTCGGATTATAGAAAATTAACTGAACACAAATAGGAAACGCAAATATCAACGCTTAACCTTTACCTAACTCAACACATAAACCAAATACTACCTCTGCCCTACCACTAATCTCTATCCATTAATCTAAACCAAGGAATACCACGCCACTAATAACCTAATACCTCTATTTTGAAAAGATTATATCGTCGGAAATTGTAAAACAACATCCATTTTGTTCCGTTTGAAGTAGATTTAGAGTCGTTTTGACCAACGTTAGAACTGAAGCATAAAAGCTGCCGTAAAATTATATTTAAAAAAAAATAACAATAAGTTTTCAAGGCAAAGGAAGAAGGGCCAGACTTAGAATTATCTAGAATCTTTCCCGCAAGACGACAAAACGGAAGGTGGATTAGCAGTGGATTAGCAGTGGATTAGCAGTGGATTAGCAGTGGATTAGCAGTGGATTGACTATCCCTGGACCATTATCCTAGTAGGCTCTGGACAACGACCTTTATCCAGAATGACGGCCGTCTAACTATACTCGGTTACATTAGGTAGGCCTAAGTTGAATTAATTTAAACGATTACACATTTCCCTTAAAACAACACTAAACTGCTCTATTGGATTACATACGGTAGGCCTACATGTTGCAGCAAAATTGCAATCTCTCATTTCTATCTAGTTAGCAATGTGATGCAATACTTATATAGATACGTTCAAGCATTATAAAAAGACGACATAGCAAACGCCGTCTTCTTCTTCTTCGTTCTTAATAGTAATTTCATCCCACACAATTAAGGATTAAATTTCAACTAGATATGCAACATGCAAGCCGTTGAATTAAATTTCAGCATGCTTTACTTTCTGGATTCGCTAAATTGCTCTAACTCAATAATACACAAGTTTTTATATGGTGGGAAAAACATAGAAGGTAACAGCAACATAATTATTTTTATAGACACTGAAATATCGTTTGACAAGTCCTTTAGCGGAAATCACGCATCACAAGAGACATTTCCTTTTATGATTTTCATTCCAAAAACATTTACACAATAACATAAATTTAACCATAACTAAACAAAACAATGACTTTAAAAAATATGTTTAGAAAATATATTTCTGAAAATATTTTCCAACAGTGTAATCGTGTACTAAAGGGTCGCACGCAGAAGTAGAAATCTAGAGTATTTTTAGCTATGAAAATGCGCACTGGATTAAAAAGCTGCACCATTTAGCGCCATCTTTCTGAACGAAACGTCTTTTCAAACTGCGCAGCCCTAACAACGCATGCGTATTTGGAAAAATAAACATCGACGTGTTTCGTCCATTTTATCTAACATCTGCGATTGATGAGTTAAAAACATCTGCCAAGCCTACAAAAATGGTTGTTTACTCGTATTTCATCGCTTTGATCCTAATCGTCATGGTCACAGGTATTGTCCAAAATATAACTCATGTTTAAACTTTGTCTAAGAGTATTCTAGCGTCTAGATCTAGAATCTAGGTCTAGATCTAGAATTTCTACGTTATAAAACTAGAGTTTAGTCTATAAACTAATCTTTTGTCGTTGAAGACGTTTCTGCGCATCGATTAGTTAGCCGTACCCACTTAAAATTCTAGATTTAATATACAAGGAGAAAAGCGAATATTTTCGATAAATATGCTTGGTTTGTTTTGAGCTTAGGATCAAGGTTAAGTTTGTAATTTGTTGTATTAGGTTTATGTATAGTAGAAAGAATAACAGCTGGTGTATGAGCAAGACTAGGATAGTGAAAATGACCAATCGACAAGCAAGAAGAGGTAAGATTCCTTTCAGAACCGGCAGACCATAAAGCAAAGGACGTTCGCATTTTTATGGAGTTGGATTCGATTAATGTACCCATAAGAGCTGAGCCTGCTCAGGGTATTGCTAAGCTATTGTCTCGTAGCCCAGAAGTTAACTCCATACTTTTATTGTTGTACGAACACAAACCTCGACGTTGTATGCTGATAAATGCCAAATATGTGATGATGTATTTTGATTGTGGGACGGCGTGGCCTAGCGGTAGAGCGCTAGACTTCTAACCTGCAAGTCTCGAGTTCGAATCCGGGTTCAAGTAAATAAGGCGGCTGGGCATAGTTACGACAGCACTACACCTTCATGTGCCAAAGTCGTGAAACATATAAACTCTACTCCATCTGCCCAATGGATTGCTAAAGATGAATCTTCATTTTTTTTTATTTTTATTTTGATGCTTTTGCAACACTAACCATGTCCAAATCATAGCCCTAAAACATCAAACGAAACACACTGATTCTACTGTAAAAAAGGTAATACTGCATTGCTTGTTAGGAATTGGTAAATAACCGCATATAGATTCATCACATCAACCTATCCAGGTTATAAATCGAATACGTGGGTACGGCTAATCAATAAGACGCGAGCGAAGTGAACTTACTGACCTACGAGGGAGTGGTATCATCTGTGTGATCTGCTGTTATGTAGACTCACCTTAATGATATACGTTGGTATGGTTTCACCTTTATGATATACGTTGGTATGGTTTCACCTTAATGATATACGTTGATATGGTTTCACCTTAATGATATACGTTGGTATGGTTTCACGTTAATGATATACGTAGTTATGGTTTCACCTTAATGATATACGTTGGTATGGCGTCACCTTAATGATATACGTTGGTATAGTTTCACCTTAATAATATACGTTGGTATGGTTTCACCTTTATGATATACGTTGGTATGGTTTCACCTTAATGATATACGTTGGTATAGCGTCACATTAATGATATACGTTGGAATGGTGTCACCTTAATGATATACGTTGGTATGGCGTCACCTTAATGATATACGTTGGTATAGTTTCACCTTAATAATATACGTTGGTATGGTTTCACCTTTATGATATACGTTGGTATGGTTTCACCTTAATGATATACGTTGGTATAGCGTCACATTAATGATATACGTTGGAATGGTGTCACCTTAATGGTATACGTTGGTATGGTGTCACCTTAATGATATACGTTGGTATGGTGTCACCTTAATGATATACGTTGTTATGGTTTCACCTTAATGATATACGTTGGTATGGTGTCACCTCAATGATATACGTTGTTATGGTTTCACCTAAATGATATACTTTGGTATGGTGTCACCTCAATGATATAGGATTGTATGGTGTCACATTAATGATATACGTTGGTATGGTATCATATTAATGATATACTTTGGTGTGGCGTCACATTAATGATATAGGTTGGTATGGTGTTACCTTAATGATAAACATTGGTATGGTTTCACCTTAATAACATACATTGATGTGGCGTCACATTAATGATAAACTTGGTGTGGCGTCACATTAATGATAAACTTGGTGTGTTGTCACCTAAATGCGATACTTAGTGGGTCGTCACTATAAAGGCTTGCTTTGGTATGGTGGTAACCAAGCTGTTTGTTCTTGTTGTAATGTTTACCATAATCAGCTGTCATAGATGACATTTAGTCGGTGGTGTCACCATACTGACAACCTTTATGTGGTGTCACCATACTGACCTCCCCTTGTGTGGTGTCACCATACTGACCTCCCATTGTGTGGTGTCACCATGCCATCTCCCCGTGTGTGGTGTCACCATATAGACCCTAGATTGTGTGGTGTTACTATATTTACCAGCTCTCATGTCACCATACTCAGCTGACAGTTGACGTTGTTACAACAGGTCACTGACTATTTATGATGTGGTGTCATATTACGATATAGAATGGTGTGGAATCATTTTAGTGGTCTACTATTGTATGGTGTCCCCATCATGAACTCTGTATGGTTTAACCAAGCTGACCACACCTTATGTGGTGTCACCATATTGACCTTAGTTTGTGTGGTTTAACCAAACTAACCTCACCTTATGTGGAGTCACCATAATGACCTTATTTTGTATGGTGTAACCAAACTGACCTCACCTTATGTGGAGTCACCATAATGACCTTACTTTGTATAGTGTAACCTAGCTGACCTCACCTTATGTGGTGTCACCATAATGACCTTTGTATGGTGTAACCTAGCTGACCTCACCTTATGTTGAGTCACCATAATGACCTTAGTTTGTATAGTGTAAACTAGCTGACCTCACCTTATGTGGTGTTACCATAATGACCTTCGTATGGTGTAACCTAGCTGACCTCACCTTATGTGGTGTCACCATAATGACCTTTGTATGGTGTAACCATGCTGACCTCACCTTATGTGGTGTCACCATAATGACCTTAGTGTGTATGGTTTAACCATGCTGACCTCACCTTATGTGGTGTCACCATATTGACCATTGTATGGTGTAACCATGCTGACCTCACCTTATGTGGTGTCACCATAATGACCTTAGTTTGTATGGTGTAACCATGCTGACCTCACCTTATGTGGTGTCACCATACTATTTGGGCAGGATTAGATATAAACCACAATAAACCAATATACAGTGGTACCTCGACATACGAGTTAAACTGGATCCGTGACATTTCTCATATGTCAAATTGCTCGTATCTCAAAGCACTTTTCACTATATAATGTATTTATGTTATTAATCCGTTCCAATCCTAAAATATCACACAATTTTTTTATTAGAGATTTTTATCCTAATAAGAAAAGTAGATTTATACTTGACACATATTAGTCAGTAACATACTGAAGGATAATGCTAAGAATACATTGATGTTATTAAGTGTAGTTACTTTGAACATCATACGACTTGAGATTAACATGAAACATGACGGAGGAGGGTTCCTTTACGTTTAGTGATCAATTGTAAGGTTAAGAGCATGAAGCTTAATTTACTTAAAGGGGTCAAAAGAGCATACTCCATAAGGATTAACCCGTTAGCCCGTTAATCCGGCTATCACATTTTTGATCGAGTAAATTATAACTCGCTCGACAGTACCTATCTAAAGAATCGTGTAGGTAGGGCACTCGTATGTCGAGGTACCAATATATATATATATATATATATATATATATATATATATATATACAATGTACAATGTATTTTTTCCATATCCGATTTCACTTTTAAAGACCCTGGACTGGTTGATGCCCAAGATGGTGGGTATTGTTTTATTTTTTAATTTTTTTTTTACATAAAGTACTTTTTACTTTACTATAAAAAAGATAATTCTGATTTTCAAATCATTCTAACTTGCGAATGTTTCATCATTACGTTGTTGTACTCACTGTAGCACTGTTTCAGTTGTACATACTGTAGCATAGCCTCAGTTGTCAGTTGTACACACTGTAGCATATCCTCATTTGTACACACTGTAGCATAGCCTCAGTTGTACACACTGTAGCATAGTCTCAGTTGTCAGTTGTACACACTGTAGCATATCCTAAGTTGTCAGTTGTACACACTGTAGCATAGCCTCAGTTGTACACACTGTAGCATAGCCTCAGTTGTACACACTGTAACATAGCCTCAGTTGTACACACTGTAGCATATCCTCAGTTGTCAGTTGTACACACTGTAGCATAGCCTCAGTTGTACACACTGTAGCATAGCCTCAGTTGTACATACTGTAGCATAGCCTCAGTTGTACACACTGTAGCATAGCCTCAGTTGTCAGTTGTACACACTGTAGCATATCCTCATTTGTACACACTGTAGCATAGCCTCAGTTGTACACACTGTAGCATAGCCTCAGTTGTCAGTTGTACACACTGTAGCATATCCTCAGTTGTCAGTTGTACACACTGTAGCATATCCTCAGTTGTCAGTTGTACACACTGTAGCATAGCCTCAGTTGTACACACTGTAGTATAGCCTCAGTTGTCACTTGTACAAACTGTAGCATATCCTAAGTTGTCAGTTGTACACACTGTAGCATATCCTCATTTGTACACACTGTAGCATAGCCTCATTTGTACACACTGTAACATAGCCTCAGTTGTACACATTGTAGTATAGCCTCAGTTGTCAGTTGTACACACTGTAGCATAGCCTAAGTTTTCAGTTGTACACACTGTAGCATAGCCTCAGTTGTACACACTGTAGCATAGCCTCAGTTGTACACTTTAGCATAGCCTCAGTTGTACACACTGTAGCATAGCCTCAGTTGTACACACTGTAGCATAGCCTCAGTTGTACACACTATAGCATAGCCTCAGTTGTACACACTGTAGCATAGCCTCAGTTGTACACACTGTAGCATAGCCACCTTTGTTATTTTTACTCACCGTAGAATAGCCTCAGTTACATTAACGGTACAACCAGCTAGAGTTGGTTTAGCGTTAGTGTTTGAGTTAGGGTTAGAGTTAGAGTTAGAATTAGGATGTAATTAGGGTTAGAGCTAGACTTTGATTTTAGGACAAAACATACAGCTAGTAAGATATATAGTTATTGCTAGGTTCAGTAGAATTAATGCTAGTTATGTCTTAAGTCAGGTTAGAATGTTTATTATTTATTGCTACAGTTAGGTAGAACTAGGGTTAGAGTTTTGTTTATTCGTCAGGTTGGAGTTTGCGCTGTATAATCTAGAATTACTGCTGAATTATGGCTTAAATTAAGTTAGATTGTGTTATATTTATGGCTAGTGTTAGAACTTAATTATGTCTTACCTTAGGTTGGAGTTTGTTCTTTATTTATCGATAGAATTAGAAGATGACTTAGTTTCATTTGAGCTGAAAGTTAGAGCCAGTGCTAGGGCTATAATGAGTTCTTGATATTCGTGTTAGACATTCGGCTCTGGCTCAAGTAAAGCCTCGCCTGGTACGGCAGGTTGTGCACCAAGTATCAAAAGCTGTTAGCGACAACACAAACTGACATCGACATATTACAAACTGACATCGACATATTACAAACTGACATCGACATATTACAAACTGACATCGACATACTGACATCTACATATTACAAACTGAAATCGACAAAACAAACTGACATCGAAATATTACAAACTGACATCGACATATTACAAACTGAAATCGACATATTACAAACTGAAATCGACAAAACAAACTGACATCGAAATATTACAAACTGACATCGACATATTACAAACTGAAATCGACATATTACAAACTGACATCGACATATTATAAACTGAAATGGACATATTACAAACTGGCTTCGACATATTACAAACTGACATCGACATATTACAAACTGAAATCGACATATTACAAACTGACATCGACATAATATAAACTGAAATCGACATATAATACAAACTGAAATCGACATAAAACAAACTGAAATCGACATATTACAAACTGACATTGACATATAACAAACTGAAATCGACATACTTCAAGCTGAAATCGACATATAACAAACTGACATCGACATATAACAAACTGAAATCGACATATTACAAACTGAAATCGACATATTACAAACTGACATCGACATATTACAAACTGACATTGACATATTACAAACTGACATCGACATATAACAAACTGAAATGGACATATTACAAACTGAAATCGACATATAACAAACTAAAATCGACATATTACACACTGAAATCGACATATAACAAACTGACATCGACATATTATAAACTGAAATCGACATATAATACAAACTGAAATCGACATATAACAAACTGAAATCGACATATTGCCACCTGAAATCGACATATAACAAACTGAAATCGACATATTACAAACTGACATTGACATATAACAAACTGAAATCGACATATTACAAACTGACATCGACATATTACAAACTGAAATCGACAAAACAAACTGACATCGAAATATTACAAACTGAAATCGACATATAACAAACTGAAATCGACATATAACAAACTGAAATCGGCATATAACAAACTGAAATCGACATATTACAAACTGAAATCGACATATTACAAACTGCCAAACCAACCCTGTATTTAACTTTAATGCTACCTTAACACAACCCTTACTCTAGAATAGTTACTGTTCTCATTCCAAAACTATAAAAGGTTTACCAAGTAAAAAATACAGCATAACCCTAATCCTAATTAGAACTGTTTGGATTAAATAAATCCTCTTCGTGATCATGATGTGAAATCAGGGTATTTATTAAAACACGGATTCGGGGGATTATGGTAGAGTATTTTTTTTAAACCTTAGCTCTGAAAAGAGCTCAAATCTTGACCCATTTCATATGAGGACAGAAAACTTGCGCTAAACTATAGTGTTAGCTTTACAGTATTAAAAAAACACGCCTAGGCTGTGGGTAAGTACCCTTACGGTCCGCGGGGCAAGTGAAGTAGAGTTCACCTGTTTCCGTAAGCTCTGCATATGATGGTATAATGTTCTGCACTATGCTGTGACACCTTTACCTACCCTAACGTAAGTTAGGTACCCATCAGAGCTGTGTAGACTCAAAGACGTTCTACAAATTTGAACCCAGATTCGAACTTGAGCCTTTCGGAAATGAGTCTAGCGCTCTACCTCTAAACCACGACGTTATATCCGAGTATGCTTAATACATACTTTAGGTAAACCTTCCGTTGCTATGGTAACGGATTAGTTTAACGGCTGGCATCTCTTTCACAGCCGAACCCAAGTGCCCCAAACTTGGAGATTGTGGCGTCAGGATAATGACTTGCATGTGAGAATCAACCATGGCAGAGACTTGCCTGACATGACATAAGTATCGTGTGTCACACGTGTCCTGTTATACGTGTCATTGTAGGTGTCATACGTGTCATTGTATGTGTCATACGTGTCATTGTAGGTGTCATATGTGTCATTGTAGGTGTCATATGTGTCATTGTAGATGTCATATGTGTCATTGTAGGTGTCATATGTGTCATTGTAGGTGTCACACGTGTCATTGTAGGTGTCATACGTGTCATTGTAGGTGTCATACGTGTCATTGTAGGTGTCATATGTGTCAATGTAGGTGTCATATGTGTCATTGTAGGTGTCACACGTGTCATTGTAGGTGTCATACGTGTCATTGTTGGTGTCATACGTGTCATTGTAGGTGTCATACGTGTCAGGTTAAATGGCATAGTTGATGTGTATAATGTCATACCTGTGTAGTCTCATGCCACAATGTCATGAGTACAATTAAATGTCATTAGTGTCCTGTCAAAAGTCATACGTGTCATTTTAGATGTCAATTGTCATGTTAAATGTCACACACATTGTGTCTAATGTCATTTGTGTATTGTTGTGCGTGTCATGATAAATGGCACAATTGTCATTGTAAATGTCATACGTATCATGCCGAATGGCTTACGTGTGATTTTAAATGTCATAAGTGTCATGTTAAATGTCAACGGCATTGCATCTAATGTCATACGTGTATTGTCTAATGACATAGTATCATACGGGTCTTATTAAATGCCATACGTATCTTTGTAAATGTCATACGTGTCCGGTTAAATAACATAGTCACTATGTTTAATGTCATACGTGTATTTTCTAATGTCATAAGAATCTTGTCTTTCGCCATAAGTTTCGTGTCTAATGTCACATGTCATGACATGTCATTCATGTCTGGTTAAATGTCCATAATTTTCTTTTACTCCATAGCTATTGGAATAAACGTCTTAAATGTCATGTCATACGGTAACTGTGTCGTTTTACTTTAATGTCACATACACCTTGTCAATTGTCATACGTAGCTAGTGTAAATGTATACGTGTCTTTTAGAATGTCATCCGTGTCTTGTCTAATGTCATATTCGTCTTATGTCATATGTCACGCATGTAATGTCATGACTAATATTTCTATTGACGTGTCAAGTTTAATGTCATAATTATCTTTTCCACCTATTGCAGTAAATGTTGAGCCATATGTTATTTGTATGTTGCCGAATGTCGTATTGTCTTCTTTACGTATCGTATCTTATGTTATATGTGCCGGATTTAAAATCACACACATATTTTCTAAACATAATTATGTTTGATAACCGAATGAAAATGTGTTAAGTACGTGATGTCGTTTATGTCAATAGTAATCGTTTCAATGACATACTAAACTTTTCACATGTCACATACATTAAGCTAATAATTTGGTGTAACATTTGTTGGGGTCTATAGTCATTACATTCCTGTCACTAACCTCTCATTAATATAATCAGTTCAAATGGCTAAACTAATTTAGTCGAAACGCATGTGCCCCTGTGTGTGCGCGTGTGTGTTAGTGAGTGACGTTTGTGCTGTCATATTTCATTGAAAAAAAAGACAAAGTTTGATTAGTCTAAGGTTCATGTTTCACTACTTAATTTATTCATATATTTTACCTTTGTCTCTGTGTGTGACGTCATCGTTTTCATATTCCAGAGAGAAAGATAAAGTTTGAGTAGTCTGAGCTTTACGGTTCAACGATTTTTTTATTCGCCTGTTGTACCTATGAATGTGACGTCATGATTTTCATATTCCAGAGAGAAAGATAAAGCTTGAGTAGTCTGAGCTTTACGGTTCAACGATTTTTTTTATTCGACTGTTGTACCTATGAATGTGACGTAATGATTTTCATATTCCAGAGAGAAAGATAAAGCTTGAGTAGTCTGAGCTTTACGGTTCAACGATTTTTTTATTCGCCTGTTGTACCTATGAATGTGACGTCATGATTTTCATATTCCAGAGAGAAAGATAAGCACATGAAGTGTCTACGGGCCATCATTGAAAACCAAAATTGTGATGATGACACAATCGATGATGCCACTAGCATGCTCGTTCAGATGAAGGACGCCCCATGTGAAGGTAAAACATTTCCAGCAATACAATAAGTCCATATATGACTAGATATGTGTGCTTACATTTGTAGCGATACAATAAGTCCATATGTGACTAGATATGTGTGCTTACATTTGTAGCGATACAATAAGTCCATATGTGACTAGATATGTGTGCTTACATTTGTAGCGATACAATAAGTCCATATGTGACTAGATATCTGTGTGCTTACATTTGAAGCGATACAATAAGTCCGTATGTGACTAGAAATCTGTGTGCTTACATTTCCAGCGATACAATAAGTCCATATGTGACTAGATATGTGTGCTTACATTTCCAGCGATAAAATAAGTCCATATGCGACTAGAAATCTGTGTGCTTACATTTGTAGCGATACAATAAGTCCATATGTGACTAGAAATCTGTGTGCTTACATTTGTAGCGATACAATAAGTCCATATGTGACTGGATATGTGTACTTACATTTGTAGCGATACAATAAGTCCATATGTGACTAGAAATCTGTGTGCTTACATTTGTAGCGATACAATAAGTCCATATGTGACTGGATATGTGTACTTACATTTGTAGCGATACAATAAGTCCATATGTGACTAGAAATCTGTGTGCTTACATTTGTAGCGATACAATAAGTCCATATGTGACTAGAAATCTTTGTGCTTACATTTGTAGCGATACAATAAGTCCATATGTGACTAGAAATACGTGTGCTTACATTTGTAGCGATACAATAAGTCCATATGTGACTAGATATGTGTGCTTACATTTCTAGCGATACAATAAGTCCATATGTGACTAGATATGGGTGCTTACATTTGTAGCGATACAATAAGTCCATATGTGACTGGATATGTGTACTTACATTTGTAGCGATACAATAAGTCCATATGTGACTAGAAATATGTGAGCTTACAATTGTAGCGATACAATAAGTACATATCTAACTAGAAATATGTGTGCTTACATTTGTAGCGATACAATAAGTCCATATGTGACTAGAAATCTTTGTGCTTACATTTCTAGCGATACAATAAGTCCATATGTAACTAGAAATCTTTGTGCTTACATTTGTAGCGATACAATAAGTCCATATGTGACTGGATATGTGTACTTACATTTGAAGCGATACAATAAGTCCATGTGTGACTAGATATGTGTACTTACATTTGTAGCGATACAATAAGTTCATATGTGACTAGAAATCTGTGTGCTTACATTTGTAGCGATACAATAAGTCCAAGTGTGACTAGATATGTGTGCTTACATTTGAAGCGATACAATAAGTCCATATGTGACTAGAAATATGTGTACTTACATTTCTAGCGATACAATAAGTCCATATCTAACTAGAAATATGTGTGCTTACATTTGTAGCGATACAATAAGTCCATATGTGACTAGAAATATTTGTGCTTACATTTGTAGCGATACAATAAGTCCATATCTAACTAGAAATCTGTGTGCTTACATTTGTAGCGATACAATAAGTCCATATGTGACTAGATATGTGTGCTTACATTTGAAGCGATAAAATAAGTCCATATAAGACTAGAAATATGTGTGCTTACATTTCTAGGGAATAAGTTCATATGTGACTAGAAATATGTGAGCTTACATTTGAAGCGATACAATAAGTCCATATGTGACTAGATATGTGTGCTTACATTTGAAGCGATACAATAAGTCCATATGTGACTAGAAATCTGTGTGCTTACATTTGTAGCAATACAATAAGTCCATATGTGACTAGAAATCTGTGTGCTTACATTTGTAGCGATACAATAAGTCCATATCTAACTAGAAATCTGTGTGCTTACATTTGTAGCGATACAATAAGTCCATATGTGACTAGAAATCTGTGTGCTTACATTTGTAGCGATACAATAAGTCCATATGTGACTAGAAATCTGTGTGCTTACATTTGTAGCGATACAATAAGTCCATATCTAACTAGAAATATTTGTGCTTACATTTGTAGCGATACAAAAAGTCCATATCTAACTAGAAATCTGTGTGCTTACATTTGTAGCGATACAATAAGTCCATATGTGACTAGATATGTGTGCTTACATTTGAAGCGATAAAATAAGTCCATATAAGACTAGAAATATGTGTGCTTACATTTCTAGGGAATAAGTTCATATGTGACTAGAAATATGTGAGCTTACATTTGAAGCGATACAATAAGTCCATATGTGACTAGATATGTGTGCTTACATTTGAAGCGATACAATAAGTCCATATGTGACTAGAAATCTGTGTGCTTACATTTGTAGCAATACAATAAGTCCATATGTGACTAGAAATCTGTGTGCTTACATTTGTAGCGATACAATAAGTCCATATCTAACTAGAAATCTGTGTGCTTACATTTGTAGCGATACAATAAGTCCATATGTGACTAGAAATCTGTGTGCTTACATTTGTAGCGATACAATAAGTCCATATGTGACTAGAAATCTGTGTGCTTACATTTGTAGCGATACAATAAGTCCATATGTGACTGGATATGTGTACTTACATTTGTAGCGATACAATAAGTCCATATGTGACTAGAAATCTGTGTGCTTACATTTGTAGCGATACAATAAGTCCATATGTGACTGGATATGTGTACTTACATTTGTAGCGATACAATAAGTCCATATGTGACTAGAAATCTGTGTGCTTACATTTGTAGCGATACAATAAGTCCATATGTGACTGGATATGTGTACTTACATTTGTAGCGATACAATAAGTCCATATGTGACTAGAAATCTGTGTGCTTACATTTGTAGCGATACAATAAGTCCATATGTGACTAGAAATCTGTGTGCTTACATTTGTAGCGATACAATAAGTCCATTAGTGTCTTGAAACCTTCGAGTTTACGGTTGAAGCAATACAAGATGTCCTTATACACGCACACTAACACACACACACACACATACAACACACACACACACATATATTGGAATATTGCTATACAATCAAAAAAGAAAAGCAGGCTGAAATCGGAGTCAATGGCCTCAATGGCGCATAACCAGTTGACACGTAACGCTTAATTGTGTTGGAGGCGTGGTCGAGTCGGCAAAAAGCTCATGATTGATAAATTCGAACATAGTCTCGAGTTCAAACCCACTGGCAGATAAATCTCGACCCCCTTCAACACTAATAATTAAGAACGAAGAAGAAGAAGAAGAAGCTATTCAATCTTATATGTTAATTAAAATGCTTTTTTTTCCCTCAATAGGTTCACTTGACGGTAAATACCATTATTTTAAACTTCGCGTAAAGTGTGATATTTACATTTATTTATTGCTTTTAATTCGGTAATTTTTCTGTTTAATGAACGCACATTCTAATCAAAATGTTGTCTATACTTAATTGCAGTCATATCAATTATCGCTAATTATTTCAGTCTATTTTATTGCAAAAATGTTTCATTTACTAAATTAGCGTGTATGACTGCAAAGGTTGGATTTACTTTGTATCTGTCATTTGATCTTTAAAAACCCTTTTTTATATTTTATGACTATAGATGTCATACAATTTGTAATGTTTTGTTTAAGCCAAACACTTCAACTATATTCATTGTGTTAAATGTGATGTTGACATATGCATACATTTTAAACATTATACATTGTTTGTATATATTGATTTACATTATTGTGTCTAATGTAATACTGGCATCTAGATTTCTACATACATTTCATACATAGTTATATAACCATTTCCATCACTTGTGTTAAATGTGAAGAATTATAATTTATATAGTTTTGTAATTTTCATTAATCGTGCTAAAGTGTGGCATATACTTCATATACATCTGTAAGTAATGAGTCGTGTTTGTTTATGTGTGTTGAGTTTGACCATAACTTTGTGTGTTAATTGTGGTGTTTATTTCTTCTTGTGTTAAGTGTGGTTTTATGTGTTTTACATGTGGTGAATATATGTCTGTGTATTAAGTGTTGTGCTTTTATGTGTTGTGGGTGTTGGTTATGTATGAGTGTTAAGTAATACGTGTGGTGTTTGGGTGTAAAGTGGGGTGTTTATGTCTGTGTGTTAAGTGTAATGTTTATGTCTGTGTGTTAATTGTGGTGTCTATGTATGTGTGTTAAGTGTTACGTGTGGTGTTTGGATGCTAAATATGTTGTTTCTAAGTGTTAAGTTTGATGTTATTATTGTTTTAAGGTTGGTGTTATTGTGCTAAGTGTGGTGTTTACGTGTGTTCAGTGTGGTGTTTCTGTGAGTCAAGTGTGGTGTATATGTCTGTATATTGAGTGTGGTGTGTATTAAGGATGGTGTGTATTAAGTGTGGTGTGTATTCAGTGTGGTGTTTACGTGTGTTAAGTGTTGTGTTTACGTGTATTAAGTGTGGTGTTTACATGTGTTGCTGGTTATGTGTGTTAAGTGTGGTGTTTCTGTGTGTTAAGTGTGGTGTTTACCTGTGTTATGTGTGTTGTTTGTCTGTGTCAGTATCGCCAAAAGGTCACGTGTTTACACATCTGCTCCACAGCTAACGCACCCACCACAAACCGGGATGCTACCAGTAAGTTGTCTTAGCTCCCCTCTACGAGGGTGTGTGTCCATGTATAACTCGGGGGGGATGTCAACGTTTTACTCGGGGGGGGGGGAGGTGTCTTTATTTAAATCGTTTGGGTGGGGGGGGGGTTGTCCATGTTTAACTCGTGGGGGTGGGGGGTTGTCAACGTTTTACTCGGGGGGTGTCTTTATTTAAATCGTTTGGGTGGGGGGGGGGGGGTTGTCCATGTTTAACTCGTGGGGGGGGAGGTGTCCTTATTTAAATCGTTTGGGGGGGGGTTGTCCATGTTTAACTCGTGGTTTTTTGTTTTGGTCAACGTTTTACTCGGGGGGGGGGGTGTCTATATTTAAATCGTCGGAGGTTTCCATGTTTAACTCGGGGGTGAAGGTGTATCCATGTTCTTTTACTTCCTTACATTGGGTGCATGCATATTGTTTAACTTCCTTACATTGGGGTGCATGCATATTGTTTAACTTCCTTACATTGGGGTGCATGTATAGTGTTTTTCTTCCTTACATTGGGGTGCATGTATAGTGTTTTACTTCCTTACATTGGGTGCATGTATATTGTTTAACTTCCTTACGTTGGGGTGCATGTATAGTGTTTTTCTTCCTTACATTGGGGTGCATGTATAGTGTTTTACTTCCTTACATTGGGGTGCATGTATAGTGTTTTTCTTCCTTACATTGGGGTGCATGTATAGTGTTTTACTTCCTTACATTGGGTGCATGTATATTGTTTAACTTCCTTACGTTGGGGTGCATGTATAGTGTTTTTCTTCCTTACATTGGGGTGCATGTATAGTGTTTTACTTCCTTACATTGGGTGCATGTATATTGTTTTTCTTCCTTACATTGGGTGCATGTATATTGTTTTACTTTCTTACATTGGGTGCATGTATATTGTTTTACTTCCTTACATTGGGTGCATGTATGTTGTTTATACCTCCTTACATTGGGTGCATGTATATTGTTTTACTTCCTTACATTGGGTGCATGTATATTGTTTTACTTCCTTACATTGGGGTGCATGTATAGTGTTTTACTTCCTTACATTGGGTGCATGTATATTGTTTAACTTCCTTACGTTGGGGTGCATGTATAGTGTTTTTCTTCCTTACATTGGGGTGCATGTATAGTGTTTTACTTCCTTACATTGGGTGCATGTATATTGTTTTTCTTCCTTACATTGGGTGCATGTATATTGTTTTACTTTCTTACATTGGGTGCATGTATATTGTTTTACTTCCTTACATTGGGTGCATGTATGTTGTTTATACCTCCTTACATTGGGTGCATGTATATTGTTTTACTTCCTTACATTGGGTGCATGTATATTGTTTATACCTCCTTACATTGGGTGCATGTATGTTGTTTATACCTCCTTACATTGGGTGCATGTATATTGTTTTACTTCCTTACATTGGGTGCATGTATATTGTTTTACTTCCTTACATTGGGTGCATGTATATTGTTTTACTTCCTTACATTGGGTGCATGTATGTTGTTTATACCTCCTTACATTGGGTGCATGTATATTGTTTTACTTCCTTACATTGGGTGCATGTATATTGTTTTACTTCCTTACATTGGGTGCATGTATATTGTTTTACTTCCTTACATTGGGTGCATGTATGTTGTTTATACCTCCTTACATTGGGTGCATGTATGTTGTTTATACCTCCTTACATTGGGTGCATGTATATTGTTTTACTTCCTTACATTGGGGGTGTGTTTATGTTGTTTTATATCCTTACCTTGGGTTGTGACTATGTTGTTCTACTTCCTCACATTTAGCATGTATCCTTGCTGTTTCACTTCCTGTCCATTACTGGTATTCGTGTATTTCCACCCTAACATCATCTACACAATTGGGGTGCATCCTGAGCCTTGTTCGATTTTAACTTTCTTTGAATTGATTGTTTTTACAATTTGTAACTTTAAAAAATTAAATTGTGGTTAGAAATATTATTTTAAGTATAATTCGTCTGTGGATTTTTGTTGTTGTTGTGATGAACAGTTAGTGTGTGTAAGAGAAAGAGAGAGATTGTGTGTTTGTGTGTGTTAGTGTGTGTCTGTGACTGTGTGTATGAGTATTTGTGTATGTGTCTATATGTTTTTTATGTGTTTGTGTGTGTCTGCGTGTGTTTTGCCTGTGATTGCGCGTGTGTGAGTGTGTGTGTGTGTGTATGTTTTCTGTGTGTATTTATATTTCTGGTGCGTTGATTAACAACGAATTTCAATCGATTTTTTTTTCCCAGCGGATGTTGGTGGACCGGTGGTGGAGGAGGAAACGACGCCAATCCCTCCCACCCAACCGCGTGAGTAGTAAAGTCTTCGCTCCAGTTGACCGAGCACACATGCACACGCAGATTGAAAAACAGGTTGACCTTGAAGGGTCAGGGTGACAGAGAAACTGGCGTCACAAGGCGCATGCTGGTGGGGGGGGGGGGGCAGAGTGTGACGCCATTTAGGGGGTTGACACATTGAAGGAAAAGTGTAAATTTCCTGTTAGGGTTAAGTCAGGGGTGCGGATGAAGGTAAGGTCAGGTAGGGTGAGTTCAAAGGTGGTGTGGGATCTGGTAAGGTCAGGGGTGGGGGTGGGGGTGAAACCTATTTATTAAAAGTACAGAAATAATTATGCATAATCGATAAAGATAACTAATGTATTAAGACACGATTCATAAAGCAAATATTAGTACATAATAATAAATTGCATTAGTAAGAAATACAACGTAAAACATCTATCTGTTTCAAAGCATAATTTAAGTGAATGACGTATGTTAAAAAATGGCGTAGCTGTCGCTTGTTGAAAATTATATCTTCTGACATATGCAATCACTGTTTACACCGACATAATTATGACTTTCAATCCTAAATCCTTTTTAATAAAGCTACATATATATATATATATATATATATATATATATATATATATATATATCCCTTTTTACATATAGGCACGCAAACTGTCAGGGAGTTCACATTCCCACGTAAGTGTCCACATTTATTTTAGTCAATGATCTAATTGTAAATCTTTCCAACACTCTCTAAAGACACATGTAAATACTTATATATTTTTCTGTATATATTAATAAACAAAGACTAGCGATGTTTTCATCAAATTATATATATATATATATATATATATATATATATATATGTATATATATATATATATATTTATGTATATATATATATATATGTATATATATATATATATATATATATATACATATATATATATATATATATATATATATATATATATATATATATATATATATATATATATATATATATATATATATATACATAATGTATATATGTGTGTTTATGTGTGTGTAATGTATGAATTCAAATTACCATATTTTCAGCCACCGAAAGATTTTCGAAAGAAATGGAGCGGTCAGAAAACAGTGCAAAAGCGATGTTTCCAGGTATGGGAAGTTTACCTACTGACTGTATTTGCTAATCTTGATCATGTTTTCTATCAAGATATATGCAGATTTTTCGCAATTTGTCTTGACTGGTGTTTGTAAATCTTTGCCATTTGTCTAGACTGGTGTTTGTAAATCTTTGCCATTTGTCTCAGATGATAATTACAATTCTTGGTCATTTGAATAAGCTGATATTTTATAACTCTATCCTTAGTCGTGGCTGATATTTTATAACTCTGTCATTAGTCGTGGCTGATATTTTATAACTCTATCCTTAGTCGTGGCTGATATTTTATAACGCTGTCATTAGTCGTGGCTGATATTTTATAACTCTGTCATTAGTCGTGGCTGATATTTTATAACTCTGTCATTAGTCGTGGCTGATATTTTATAACTCTGTCATTAGTCGTGGCTGATATTTTATAACTCTGTCATTAGTCGTGGCTGATATTTTATAACTCTGTCATAAGTCGTGGCTGATATTTTATAACTCTGTCATAAGTCGTGGCTGATATTTTATAACTCTGTCATAAGTCGTGGCTGATATTTTATAACTCTGTCATAAGTCGTAGCTGATATTTTATAACTCTGTCATAAGTCGTGGTTGATATTTTTAACTCTTGATAATTTACCAAAGCTGATATGTATTACTCTTTATCATTTGTCGGGCTGATATTAATAACTCTTTGTCATTTGTCGGGCTGATATTAATAACTCTTTGTCATTTGTGATTGCTGATATTTATAACTCTTGGTAATTTATCTAAGCTGATATTTATTACTCTTTGTCATTTGTCATTGCTGATATTTATAACTCTTGGTAATTTATCCAAGCTGATATTTATTACTCTTTGTCCGTTGTCTTGCCGGTTGGTTTAAAAACTTAGTCCATTGTTTAACCTGTGTTGAAAATATTTGTCATTTGTTTAGTTTAATGCCTGTAAATCTTGTTGATTTATAATTATGGGAGTGGCTTATTTTGTTTCGCGTTTCTGGTATTATTTTTTTTATTTCTTTGTATACTGTTTGTGTATATATAACGTTCATTTATCAACAATTCTTAATTTGCTGTTTATATTGGTGCTTTAATGTAGCGTGTTTATTATCTATGACTTTGTATTATGAGTGTTTTGGCAAAGTGGTTTAAGAATTTTAGACTTAACATTATATGGCAATTAGTAATGGGACATCGCAGGATGACGCCTGTGATTTGAAACTTCATGTTTATTTAAGATGATTTTAAGATGATTAAAAAAACACAGAACTAATCAGTATTGATATAGTGTTTGATTGACAAATGTATACTCTTGCCATTTCCCATCCCCTCCCTCCCCCTCTCCCTCCCCCCGGAAAATTTAGTCCGCTCCCCCGGAAAATTTCAAGTGTCACCCCCTCCCCTTCCCTCCCCCGGAGAAACAATTAAAAAATTACTCTGAATGTGGAGAATTGTTAGGTTTTATTGAGTTTAAAATGTAATTTTTTTGTTTGTTTTAAGGTATGCTACCAATCTTCTTGGCCGTCGCCTCCGTGCTCTTGCTTTGGTTGGCCTGAGTTTCAGGGAAGGAAGGATAACTCTTTGATAAGGAAGGATAACTCTTTGATAAGGAAGGATAACTCTTTGAACGATTGCCAAGCCCGGATCACCAGGAAAGGATACTTTTTGATCGCTGGCAAATATCCATCCCAGCGTATCTTTTAGTTGCAGTCTGATGATGCCTTTACACATTTTTTTTCCTCAAATGTTATTTTTAAATGTAACTACATCTTAAATTTTTATAATATTGGCATCTAAGTTGTGTTTTACAACATATGAACACACGAAACAAAATAAATAAAAACATGTCGTTCATACATCTTATCTATTTTTAGAAAAATTTTACGCAAATAAAACACCAATATGCTTAATGTTGAGTTGGGTTTTTTATATTCGATGTTGGTTATAATCTTTGTTTTTTGTTTTATCTGTTTGTCTTTGGTATATCTGTATAACGTATGTCTATTTGTTAACTTTATGGTGTCGTGTATTAGTTTCGGTACATGTGTTCATTTATCGCAGCATGGAATGCATTTTGTGTGTAGTTTTGTTAACTAATGAAGTACACACCTTGCTTAGTGTGTAGGCCCTACTTGTGTTAGCAACTAATTGATTACTTTAAGTATACACGGTGTACTTGTGGTAACGATTGAGTACATTAAGTATACACTATGTACTTGTGGTAACGATTGAGTACATTAAGTATACACTATGTACTTGTGGTAACGATTGAGTACTTTAAGTATACACTATGTACTTGTGGTAACGATTGAGTACTTTAAGTATACACTATGTACTTGTGGTAACGATTGAGTACATTAAGTATACACTATGTACTTGTGGTAACGATTGAGTACTTTAAGTATACACGGTGTACTTGTGGTAACGATTGAGTACATTAAGTATACACTATGTACTTGTGGTAACGATTGAGTACATTAAGTATACACTATGTACTTGTGGTAACGATTGAGTACATTAAGTATACACTATGTACTTGTGGTAACGATTGAGTACTTTAAGTATACACTATGTACTTGTGGTAACGATTGAGTACTTTAAGTATACACTATGTACTTGTGGTAACGATTGAGTACATTAAGTATACACTATGTACTTGTGGTAACGATTGAGTACTTTAAGTATACACGGTGTACTTGTGGTAACGATTGAGTACATTAAGTATACACTATGTACTTGTGGTAACGATTGAGTACATTAAGTATACACTATGTACTTGTGGTAACAATTGAGTACATTAAGTATACACTATGTACTTGTGGTAACGATTGAGTACTTTAAGTATACACTATGTACTTGTGGTAACGATTGAGTACTTTAAGTATACACTATGTACTTGTGGTAACGATTGAGTACTTTAAGTATACACTATGTACTTGTGGTAACGATTGAGTACTTTAAGTATACACTATGTACTTGTGGTAACGATTGAGTACTTTAAGTATACACTATGTACTTGTGGTAACGATTGAGTACTTTAAGTATACACTATGTACTTGTGGTAACGATTGAGTACTTTAAGTATACACTATGTACTTGTGGTAACGATTGAGTACTTTAAGTATACACTATGTACTTGTGGTAACGATTGAGTACTTTAAGTATACACTATGTACTTGTGGTAACGATTGAGTACTTTAAGTATACACTATGTACTTGTGGTAACGATTGAGTACTTTAAGTATACACTATGTACTTGTGGTAACGATTGAGTACTTTAAGTATACACTATGTACTTGTGGTAACGATTGAGTACTTTAAGTATACACTATGTACTTGTGGTAACGATTGAGTACTTTAAGTATACACTATGTACTTGTGGTAACGATTGAGTACTTTAAGTATACACTATGTACTTGTGGTAACGATTGAGTACTTTAAGTATACACTATGTACTTGTGGTAACGATTGAGTACTTTAAGTATACACTATGTACTTGTGGTAATGATTGAGTACGTTAAGTATACATAGTGTACTTGTGGTAACGATTGAGTACTTTAAGTATACACTATGTACTTGTGGTAACGATTGAGTACTTTAAGTATACACTATGTACTTGTGGTAACGATAGAGTACGTTAAGTATACATAGTGTACTTGTGGTAACGATTGAGTACTTTAAGTATACACTATGTACTTGTGGTAACGATTGAGTATACATGTTGTATTTGTGGTAACGATTGAGTACGTTAAGTATACATAGTGTACTTGTGGTAACGATGAAGTATATTATATATGCATAGTGTTCTTGTGGTAACGATTGAGTACTTTAAGTATACACTATGTACTTGTGGTAACGATTGAGTATACATGTTGTATTTGTGGTAACGATTGAGTACGTTAAGTATACATAGTGTACTTGTGGTAACGATGAAGTATATTATATATGCATAGTGTTCTTGTGGTAACGATTGAGTACACTAAGTGTACTTGTGGTAACGATTAAGTACATTAAGTATAAATAGTGTACTTGTGACGATTGAGTACATTAAGTGTACATATTGTACTTGTGGTAACAAATAATGAAGTTCACAGTTGCCTCTGTGCGATTCATTCAAACAGACACTAAAATCAGTTTTTTGCTTAACATAAGCCCTGTCAAGAATAAGCTATTGTTGAAATTCTTCCAGTCAAAGGTAACTTCTGGTTTACCACTCTCCCTGTCAAAGGTAAGTTCTGGTATAACATTCTTCGTCCCTAACTTTACTAGTGGTGTAAAATTACCTTTACAAAGATAACATCTGGTTTAACATTAACCCTGCCAAAGATAAACTATGGTTTAACACTCTTCACCTCAAAGGTTAGTTCTGGTATAAGATTCTCCCTGCCAAAGGTAACCTATGGTTTAACATTCTCTGTGCCCAAGGTTACTTCCGGTTTAACATTATCCCTGCGAATGGTAATTTATAGTTTAACACTCTCTCCGTCAAAGGTAACTTCTGGTTTAACATTCTCCCTGCCTAACTTAACTTGTGGTTTAACATTCTCCCTGCCTAACTTAACTTGTGGTTTAACATTCTCCCTGCCTAACTTAACTTCTGGTTTAACATTCTCCCTGCCTAACTTAACTTCTGGTTTAACATTCTCCCTGCCTAACTTAACTTCTGGTTTAACATTCTCCCTGCCTAACTTAACTTCTGGTTTAACATTCTCCCTGCCTAACTTAACTTGTGGTTTAACATTCTCCCTGCCTAACTTAACTTGTGGTTTAGTCTTCTCTCTGCCAAATATTACTTCTTCAATCTTGTTTTTTATCATTCTCCATGTGTGTAAAATACCCCCCAACAGTTTAACAAACACATCCATAGCCCATACTTCCAGTTTCAAAACAATTTTTCCATCACCTGCATGGTGTATAATATTCTCTTAGTATTTGACAACTTTTCTGTTTGAAATACATAGACATGTTGTAAACTAAGTGTCAACAGGGGTCACGGGGTCAACTGTGTGAGGGTAGTGGGGCTCCATGTCCCCGGGGGTGGGTCGACCCCTGCGTTGTGGGAACTGTTTGAAATCGTCATCCGTATAACCTGTTTGGGAAAACAAAAACATATAACAGTATAAGAGACTTGAGGAACTTTTTTTTTCAATTGGCCTTTATTGTACGAACCCACCAGTCCATAGTTCGAACTCTCAGATTAAGGAATACATCTTATTTTTATAATGTGTATCCCATCTGTTTTCTGTAGTGTGTTTTGTATTGTATTTTTTTGTGGTGTATACTTACTCTTGATGAAGTCTTATTTGTACCTCCCCAAGAAGTTTTACAATAGAGCGTATATCAGTGGCGTAGCCAGGATCGTCTCAAGTGGGGGGGGGGGGGGGGTCCAATTTTTACCCGGGGACAAACTTTCGATTTGCACCCCCCCCCCCCCCTCAAACTTTCGATATGCACCCCCTCATACTTTATATATATATATATATATATATATATATATATATATATATATATATATATATACCAAGGGGTCTATTGGGGGGGGGTTATCACCCCTTAGGCCCCCCCCCCCTGCCTTCTAATATTTGTAATTAGTATATTAAATTAATAATAATAAAAAAAATAGAAATTACGTTCTTTCCAGAATCCGAACAAAAATCCTGGACCTTTAGGCGCTGGTTCTTCCTTTCTAAAATACAAAAAATACATCAGTTTTAAGATAAGGTTTACTCAGGTCATTGATTGTTGATAATCTTTAGTTGCTTATTTGAGGCAGAGATAGGGGCATGGCATGGTTAAGCCGGGCTTGTTTGTTTGATACGAACAACAGTAGGGCAGTGATAAGTATGTAGATACACACAGAGTTTCTTTCAGGCCTCTCTACCCCACCCCTCGAAGAAAGTCTACCCCCCCGCCCGAAAGAGAAGGATTTTATATAGTAAACATACACTTTTACTAGTGTCCGCTCCCCCGAAAAATGTTGACCCCCCCCCCCTGAAAATATCAAATGCCCCCCCCCCCCGGAGAAAAAGGTATTAAAAACACTGCCCCCCTCCCCAAATCCACTAGATTTAAGCAGCCATACTTAGCCCACCCTGCCCCAACCCCCACCCTTTCACCCCTTGGGTGCCATAGCTCTCCCTATTCCCATTTCTCACAGAACCAATAGGATTTGCCCGTTTTAGTGACGTCACTTCCACTAAACATTACCAAAAAAACCAAACCCTAACCCAATAAACAGATGACGTAACCTTGACTTACTCGACGTCCGCTTGAATAGGGTAGCCAATGGGCAGTCTGCGTTCAATCTTTGGCCTAGAACATACGTTCAGAAACGTTAACATTGATCAGACCAGTGGCGTAGGCAGGGGGGTTAGGGGAGATCATAACCCCCACATAGACCCCTCGGGGGGTGCAAATCGAAATTTTGAGGGGGGGGGGGTGCAAATCGAAAGTTTGTCCCCGGGTAAAAATTGGAACCCCCCCCCCCCCCTTGAGCCTGGCTACGCCACTGGATTAGACTCACAAGGTTTCATAGTCGTTTATGAGATGACCGAACGTTTGATTTCAAGATGGGGGGATGTTTGTGAGAGAAAGTCCAGATATCGTTGAAGAGGCGCCAAAAACAGTTTTAATTTACAACAGGAGGGGGTCCATATCAGTTCATAAGTTAAAGGGGGCAACGTATGTTTTAATTTTGGTGACTCAGGGTATAACTAAAAAATGGGGCTATTATCATTTGTTTAGGTGAGGTTCTCATATTTATTCACACGATAAGTGGCTCATAACAATTCACAAGGTAGAGGCTGACATTAATTTCCAATAAAAGGGGCTTGCATAGATTCACAAGATAGGGGCTGATATTAATTCCCAAGAAAAGGGGCTGCATAGATT